TTTAAATGGGTAATTATGGTTGCAAACTCCATTAGAAATTTGAATTGAGATACTGACCCTATCTTGAGGGAAAGATTTTTTTGGGGATTAAGGGAAAAGGGGAGGTGAAAAAAATTGGAGGGGGGGGGACAATTTTTCTCATTTCAGATTTCAGAAATTAAAAGAAAATTTCTTAAAATATTTTTTTTGGGGGTTAATATTCAACAGCATAGTGTATTGCACAAAAGCAAAAAACCGGGGTAATTTTTTTTTTGGGGGGGGGGGGGGGGGGGGGCAATTCGCAACAGCATAGTGTATTGCACAAAAGCAAAAAAATTAATATAAATTCAAATCATATAACCAATTTGAAGTTCTTTGACTTCAGTTATTCTGTGTCAGAAACCTATTATGTATCAAAAATTTAGTTACAATCCAAATTCAGACCTGTATCAAGCGTGAATATTGTGTCCATTTTGGCCCCAACTTTTCAGGGTTGGACATCTGCGGTCGTATCCAGCTGCGCTCAGCGAAGCAATTTATTCTCATTTTTGAAGGCTGTGTGGTTGTCTATAATTACTTTGTTATTTGAACATCTGTGGATAGTTGTCTCATTGGCAATCATACCACATATACTGATTTTTATATGGATTGCAGACCTGAAAAAGATGTTCAAAGTTGAATATGCTGCAAACTTCAAACAACCTACTACAACTTATTTACCATGAAACTGTTGATCAGAACTATATATAAGTGATTTCATCCCAGTCCTCATACATGTACCACTATCAATCAACAGAACAAATGCAAATAATTATGATGTCATGAAAGGTTTTTTAATAAATCTCGAATCTTTATATCAATATAAACTGTATCCCAATATAAACATGTTGGGCTCTTTTACAGCAGAATATACAGTATGGGGTTTTCTCATTTTCATAGGCCTGTTTACGGGACGTATTATGGAATACCGTTGTCCGTCTATCTGTCCGTCCGTCCGTCGTCAACATGTCAGACATTAACTTAAAAACGCTTTAAAAAAATTGCATATAACTTTGGTGAATTGTTTATATCTATTGATGTGAGCTCCCTTTCTTTTTTTATAAATTTTAGATTTTACATTTCCGAGTTCATTCTTAAAAAAAGGGGAATTTTTCAGGTTTCAGACCATAACTCAAAAATGCTTTCAGCAGTTCTCATGAAACATTTGTGAATTGTTTATATCTAGTGATGTAAGCTAGCCCCTGCTGCCTTTGGAATTTTATAAATTTTTCATTTTACATTTCCAAGTTATGGGGTTATATATATTAAAAAGGGGGGATTTTCCAGTTTTGGACAATGTTTTCAGCAATTCTCATTAATCTTTGGTGAATTGTTTATATCTATTGATGTAAATAGATATAAGAAGATGTGGTATGAGTGCCAATGAGACAACTCTCCATCCGAGTCAAAATTTATAAAAGTAAACCATTATAAGTCAAAGTACGGTCTTCCAACACGGAGCCTTGGCTCACACCGAACAGCAAGCTATAAAGGGCCCCAAAAAGCTTCTTTTTTTTTCCATAAATTACTAATATGACATTGAGAAGTAATTGAACTTTATTTTTTGTAAATGTGACGGGCATATCATGCACTCATGGCGCAGCTGTTTATTGAAGGTGGTATGCATATGGTTGCCTATAATTTCGTATTTACATCTATTTTATTTGAATTTAAGGGAATAGTTGTTATATATGTATATAAACAAATCTATAGTTGTTAATTTCTGTGTCATTTGGTCTCTTGTGGAGAGTTGTCTCATTGGCAATCATACCACATCTTCTTTTTTTATAAATCCCACGTCGATATATAACATGTACAACAATCAAACATCAACCATGCCAAACTGGATGTAATTGAAAGACATCTAGAGGTCAATATACAGTCTCGAACAAAAGACAAAATAAGGAAAAATATAGCGAATTTTTTAGAAGAATTATTATTGCATGTATTTGCAATATTTAAAATATATCGTTAAACATTTTTTTTTAGGTTCCACCTACCATTTCATTGTGGCTAGTCTATTAGAGGGGTATTTCATTGGTAGATATGGAATCTTATTTTATCATGAAGTCAGATTTGAACACGACTTGAGGAATGAAGGTGGAGTAAAGACCGAATGTCAGTTTTAGTCTTATATATATGTACGTCAATTTTAGTCTTATATATGTATACATATATTATTGATTCAGTGGTGATGGTAAATAGACACTGACAAGTCTTAGATAACATTTTATAGTTTTGAATGTTTTTTCATCAATTAACTAAAATTAGGTGGAGGTACGCATGTTCTTATTTCCGACAGAGGGGCACTCAACCTATATCAATTTGTGCATGAAGCGATTGATAGTTGCTAGATACTGAATGATTTTACCACAAATTTGTGAACGTTTTAACCGGTGTATATACTTAAAATACGATAATAAAATTCATGTCTTTTTCAGGACTTAATGATCCAACGATGTAGTATGGCATGTTTGTGAGATATGGTTTTGGCCGATAGGATGTTCATGAAGGACCTGTAGTACAAAGTATATCACTGGATTGAACTCTTTGTCTAAGTGTATTATTAAAGTGCTTTGCTTTGAGCTCAGTTCATTGTTATGCAATTCATTCTTTGTGAAATAAAGATTTGACAGACAACTCTCATGTACAAGGAATTGTCAAAGTAGTATTGAACCAAACATTTTTTGTCCATAAGCCAAATTAAAAAAAAAGCACAAATTTACCAAACAATACTACTCGCGCTACTAGCAATATGATGCTAGGTTGTTTTATTACACTTTATTTTTATACATCTGTACTGCCTACTGACGACTCAGTCCTGAGTGTAAATGGTCATTCAGTATGTTAAAAAAAAAATTTTAAAGCCTATCTGGCCTAATTGATTTCTAAAACTATATTTCATTGTACATGTTCAACATTTATCATTCATTTGTTTGAATTAACAGTAAATGTTAATTACTACACTTTCATATCACAACAAAACTGCCTTACTGTACTGGTATCACTTATATTTGTATACATATATTTGTATAGTCATTCCTAACTATCCTACTACCTGTCGATACATTTATTTTTGGCATTGCACAAGTCTTGTCTTCTTTGACTGTTCACGACTTTAAAATACTAAATCCCTTGGATGTATTTTAGTTGATTTTAGTCTCTGATGCATGATTTTTTATTATTAATTGTTTTGGCTTTTAACTAGCTGTCAGTAACTGCGAGTACTCTCAAATCGTACTTTCTTTTTAATTTGACCTGTTGATACTATTTGTAATGCTTTTTTGTTATTTAATGTTAACATGGATCTTGTCTATATAATAGCTTTGATTATTTGGAATTACTACAAATTTTCACTTCTTCGTACTATGAACATCAAAATTATTTCATTTTTCCTCAGATGCTGTTCTTGGACCTGTACAGGAAGTTTTATCTAGCACTAATTGTATAGTTTTATTGTTGGTATTCACCCCATATGTACCAAGTGTTAGATTAGTTTTATTGATATTAAAGAAATTTCTTGGTATTCCTAAACGGAAGATTTTATACACACAGAAGAAGAAGTATACTTAACAACAAAATTATTTTCATTTACCTGTGTATAATATGACGCAGGTTTCTTCAAAAGTGATGATTTTCTAAAAATTGTTTGACATTTCACAGTGATATCATACTTTAACTTTGTTTAAACCTGTTTATTTACTTTTGACTTTAATTATTTATCCCTTGTAATTTTTTATTAACTGTGTATTTGCATTCAGGTGTCACAGGTCAAATTTATTCGTTCATTGTATGTTAATTTACGTTTTTTGATTGTTAAGCCTTCCAATTGAAATTTTAAAAGTGTGTTTTTCTATGATGTGATGTTATACTATTGTTTCAGAAAAGGGAGAAGGTTTGGTACCATTAAAACGTTTAATCCCGCTGCAAATGTTTGCACCTGTCCTAAGTCAGGAATCTGATTACAGTAGTTGTCGTCTGTTTATGTAGTTCATACGTGTTTCTCGTTTCTCGTTTTTATATAGATTAGACCGTTGGTTTTTCCGTTTGAATGGTTTTACACTAGTAATTTTTTGGTGCCCTTTATAGCTTGATGTTCGGTGTGAGCCAATGCTCCGTGTTGAAGGCCGTACCTTGACCTATAATGGTTTACTATTATAAATTGTAACTTGGATGGAGAGTTGTCTCATTGGCACTCACACCACATCTTCCTATATCTATATAACAACAAAAATTGAAAAGAGAATATATCTGCAATACCTTTTTCATATTAAACATAAAACATAGAACTCCTTTTGTCATATAAAACACTGTCAAACACCCAATCATACTATCCACACTAATTTTTGTCCACCGTGACTTGTACAATACAACAAAATCAATCGCATAGATTCAAAAATCAAAAATGTTAAATTAAATTTGCTTTTGAAATAATAATCAGTTCTTTGAATTGCATATATGTAAACGAAATAAGTTTTAACCTGGCTTTCGCTTATACCCAGAGCTGGCAAAATGGCATATTTTCTATTTTTCCAGCTCCGGCAACATATTCACTATTTTGCTGGTGCCGGTAAAATAGCCATTTCTATAGAAATATGCTATTTTGCCGGCTTGAATAAAGATATTTTAATCAGAGCCGGTAAAATAGCATATTTTCTAATTTGCCGGTACCGGCAAAATAGCCACTGCCTTAATATTAACGTAATGCAGAGTTTTGCAATTGTTTGTTAAACTGCATGGGCAGTACATGTATTCACTTAATATATAATGTATAGCTGAGTTGACCAAACAATTGTAAAAGTTAGCATGGCTTATGGTTCATCAAACACAATTTAAAAATAAGGCCGTGTTTACACCACGTTGGGACAAAATCTTCTCCGAGTACAGACAAACCGATGCACCAAGGAAAGTTTTAAGGCATGGCTAGACCTAGATATATTATAGTTATATATAGTATATGTTCCAGAATATTAAAAACTTACCTAGATTTTGATGTGCGTTTTTTTCCAGTCTGCAGAAGATATCAAAATAAACAAACAAATGAGTTTTATTTGATACGGTAAACTCAGTTACACAGTTTGAATAACCTATTGTTTGTACATGTCTATTGTCCATCTATTGTCCATTTAAATCAATACAACTCACAACATTTAAATTTGAGGGGAGCTTCTCAAACCTCTTAAGTTAAGTTTTTAATATTCTGAAACTTAAAACGCATTTAAATTGTATATATCTAGATCCAGCTATGCTCTAAAACTTTTCCAGGTGCAAAGGTTTGTACTCGAAGTGAAAATTGTAGTGTCAATCTGACGGCCACATTTACTGAAAGGTTATGATGAACCATATACACGTAAAATTATGCAGCTGGGTTGGGCCTGAAACAATTTTGAAACTGTGCAAACTATATAATTTACGCAATGCACAGTTTAGCAATTGTTTGTTGATCAACTGGCCATGCATTGTTTTACAATTTTCATCCGATCTGTACACCATGCATAATTCCCCATTGTATATAGATGCCTATGTTACAAACTTACGGTCTATCAGATGACCATGACATCATTTATGGATCAGCGACTACTTGAAAGTTAAAAAAAAATAAGATTTTATTTTTGTTATGTTACTTTTTCTCTTATTATACGTAATAAGGTAACTATATTTGGTATGTGCGTACCTTGGATACTAAAAAATTCCAAAAATCCTTTAGAGTACATACTATATGTATACAATCTAAGACTCTCTCATCTTGCAATAGTATTAAAACATTTGACTTTTCTACACTTTACACAAGCATTCCCCATTCCAAACTAAAAGACAAATTGGAAGAGTTGGTATTACTTTGTTTCATTAAAAAGAATGGCGGGGGGGGGGGGGGGGGATAAATCCTACTTTGTAAAAATTCACTCTGATTCAAACAAAAAATTCTCTGAAACTGACATTATCAAGATGCTTGATTTCTTGATTGACAACATATATGTTACGTTTGGAGGACGTGTTTTTCAACAGACTGTCGGAATTCTAATGGAAACCAATTGTGCCCCTCTTCTTGCCGACTTGTTTCTTTATTATTACGAGACTGACTTCATACAGGAACTTCTTAGGAAGAAAGATAAGAAGTTAGCAATATCCTTTAACTTTACGTTCCGCTATATAGATGATGTTCTCTCACTAAATAATACAAAATTTGGTGACTATGTTAAACGAATTTATCCCATCGAACTAGATATAAAGGATACAACAGATACAGTTAAGTCTGCCTCATATCTTGACTTACATCTAGAAATTGACAATGAGGGTCGGTTGAAAACAAAACTTTACGACAAAAGAGATGATTTCAGCTTCCCAATTGAGAACTTTCCATTTCTATGTAGCAACATTCCAGCAGCGCCTGCATACGGAGTATATATCTCCCAATTGATACGATATTCCCGGGCTTGTATTTCCTATCATAATTTCCTTGATAGAGGATTGCTGCTCACAAGGAAGCTATTAAACCAAGAGTTCCAAATGGTGAAGTTGAAATCATCCCTTCGTAAATTTTACGGACGCAATCACGAGTTGGTTGACCGTTATAGAATAACCGTTTCACAGATGATATCAGATATGTTCCTTTTGTCGTAACTACAATACCCTTCCCTTTTCACGAATGTGACCTACCGAATTAAACTATTTACCGGATTTGTAATAACATAAGCAACACGACGGGTGCCACATGTGGAGCAGGATCTGCTTACCCTTCCGGAGCACCTGAGATCACCCCCAGTTTTTGGTGGGGTTCGTGTTGCTTAGTCTTTAGTTTTCTATTTTGTGTCATCTGTACTATTATTTGTCTGTTTGTCTTTTTATTTTTGGCCATGGCGTTGTCAGTTTGTTTTCGATCTATGAGTTTGACTGTCCCTCTGGTATCTTTCGTCCCTCTTTTGCAAGGTCCTCGTGCCTTTCAGATAGTTTTCTCTTGACCTAGACCTCATTTCATGGATCAGTGAACAAGGCTAAGTTTGCGTGGTCATGTCCGTATCTCAGACACTAAAAGTAATAGGTGTTAGGTGTATGGAATTACTGTAAGGTGTACATGTCCAACTGGCAGTCATAGTGTCGTCTGACCTTGAACTTATTTTTTTTTTTTTTTTTTACTTTCAACATAAATTAGTTATGAACACTAGGACAGGCGAGACATTTCAGTGTGTCTACTCTTGTTGAAAGGGGGATAAGTCTAAATTATTTAGAGGTTCGAATTTCGTATACTGGAAAATTGGACTCGCTACATTCAATACTTCGAATTTTAAAATATCAGTTGATCGACACTTGACCAATAAAATGAAAGAACTTATTAAAGATCAGATATGCAATAAAATATAATACTGAATAGAACAGGCTAGTTGTATCTTTTTTTTTTAATTTAGGCTGGTGTGTAAAGGCTCTCTTCTTCAAGGTGAAATAGAATCCGGTCAGGGACGTCAATGCACGTGTATAGCTTTAGTAAACTATTCTTAACTCTAAATAATATCCCAAAGTCAGTACAGGAAGTCGATAATACACTCGATAAAGGAGCTACTACATACCAAAGTCTTGCTCGCGATGATAATGTATACTTTCTCATATCAGACTTTCCAGACAGGGTCAGCATTGAAAATGAAATTTTCGATCTTTTAGTCAGAAATTCAATTAGTGGTATGGTATTGCAAGAATTTGATCATTTAGATTCATTGACATTCAAACTTGATTCTGCTGTAGAGCAATGCTTTGATATGGCACCTACATGTTTCCTGACCACTGGAAATAATCCGGGATATACGATCGGGATTAAAAAGATTGATGAGCACTACTATGTTATAGATTCTCATAGATGAAAAGAGGCTATCTTCACCGTTGGGTAAAGCTATATAGTGTTACAATTTAACTCTTTTGAACAATTGGTGAAATATATTAGACATGTGTCATTCTTTATCAAATACCAACATGCAATATGAATGGACTCCAATAGTTATCAGGAAGGCTAGTGTATTGGCACCCTCGACAAGCCCTCAACCCACCGACGATACGAACAAAATCAATCAAAATAATCCAAGTCCTCAATGTTTCGAACCCACGGATATTGAACCTGTCGCAGATGATAATCCATTGCCAGATTCTGATATATCGGTAGATGGAGGTGGAACAGACTCGAACGTACAGCAAAACTTTGATGCTATAGATGTTGGAAATTCAGACCTACTTCTATTAACAGATGATCAAAAACACATGCTTATATGTAATAGGATGCCAGAACCTACCTTCAAATTTCCATCAAAATTGTACAAGGATAGTTGTTGCAAATCAGGTAGTTTCAAAAGATCTTTAGAGAGGGAAACACGCAGTTTCTCTCCCCGTTAGCTTGATTCCCCGCCTCAAGCTTCAAGAAGATATAGAAGCCGCCATACAATGGGAGAAAGACTGGCTCATGAATGTCATTTCACCCAAACAAATGAAACATCATGAACATGACAACCAAAAGAAATCCCATCCACTTATAGGGAACTTTTAGGGAACTACCATTTGATTTTTTTTTTGGGGGGGGGGGCTCGGATGAAAAATTTTGTCCTGCATTTTTTTAGTTGTAATCTCTATCCTGCCTTTGGATCAACTGAACTTGGCGACCACAATACTTGTATACCAGTATTGTCAACAATAGTCGTATACATAAAATGTATAAGTATTGTATTATAATACGAGTATTGTCCTTAAGTATTGTTTATATAAAACATAAATACATTTAAGTAGAGTGTAATTATTACAGCATTTATTCAAAAATATTCAGAAGTAATGTATTGATTTGAAAAATATGTATTTCATGATAGAAAATTAGAAATATTTATTCATTTTTGTATCTCATGATAAAGTGTATTCAAGGGAAATAACCCAAGGAATTTTAATTGATGCACAACAATTTCAGACTCTTTTTGTCCTATTTAGTTAGTCCTTAAAAGGACTGGTTGGCCACTTTGGGACTTTCCAGTTTCTCTTGGATGCGGTGGTATGCCTTCCATTGGTCAGAGTGGACAATGGATCCTGGTCTCACAAAACGTTGTATGATTGGTTGTAGGGTGTCTGCATCCCGTTTATCTACTATCTGCATGTATGTGATGTGATACCAAAAACCCACTGCTCTTTACTGGCCCGGCGTCCTCTGTTGTATTTGTCTTTGTGGCAATCATCTATCTCATCTATCTGTACCACGATACCTGGACCACCTAACTGGCATGGCGTATTTAGGAGTTTGGTGGTGCAAATATCTCTGTTGTACTGGTACACTTGTATAGTTGTCTTTTCAGAAATGCCTATTGTCTTGGTGGTCTTCTTCACCATTGTATCCTGACACGAAAGATACATAAAGTACAATCACTTAGCTAAGGGTACTCTATATCTTTTGAAAAATGAGCCAGACCTGATGGATCGAGTTGTGAGTCTTTAAATTGGTACACTTTTTGTTAATGCATCGGAAACCATAGCCATCTGTAGTGTCTTTTGTTGGTCGAAAAAACACATCAATGAAAATAACAAACCCTATTGATTTTTTTTTTTACAATACTTGTACATTAATTGTATACGAGTATTGTTGACAATACTAGTATACAAGTATTGTGGTCGCCAAGTTCAGTTGATCCCTGCCTTTTTATTTTTCACTTTATTCAGTCCTGCCTTTTTTTTTATTAGTGTTTCCTGACTTTTTTTTTTTACATAAATTGTCATCCTGCCTTTTTTTTAGCAAAGTGTCTCATCCTGCCTTTTTTATTTGGCAGTGTCTGCGCGTACCCATAGCCAAATAGGCCATCGTAGGCTACGCGTACCTGCAACCGATTTTTATATTAAACTGTCGTATGATCATGAATGAAACGTGAAAGATACACGAAAATTAATGATTATTTCCTGATTTTGTGAATTCAGTGAAGATAATGGCAAATAATATTTTTTAATTTGTTAATTTAATGTACTTAGCTAGAAAAATTAAAAAAAAATAAATATCTAAAACGACTAAAAATAAAGTCTGAGTGTATACACAATTTAAAGTAATACGACAAAAATTTCATGTCTAAAACTAGTTGCTTTTGATAATTATATATCCAATCAAAACTCCGGATTTATCGTTTTCTACTTCTACTGTTGCACCTGAAATATTTCGGGTCTTCATATATATGTTTGTAATGCCTTTTAAATTTTATTCTCAACTAAATAAATATCTTATATTCCTATAACTATTTTTAATATCTAAAGAAAATATTCAAAAACTAACCAGGATCGTTTCTATGAAAGTGTATTAGGGACGTAGTATTAATCAAAGTACTGAAGTACTGAACATCGGATGACCACAAGTTCTTGAGGATGGTCAAAAGCACTTGTCTCAGAAAAAAAACAACATATCTCTTTACCTGAAACTGAGGTTAATGTACAGAGATATATTTTTTTCTAGACAAGTGCGTGCGAGTATGATGAATAAATGACAGGAAATTCAACTTCACCGTAATAACTATTATATTGTAGTGATACAAATCAGTATACACTGATTTGTTGTTATATATTATATTAAAATAACAGTTACATATATATGATTTGCATCCGTTTGTATATCATTCTATTCTACTGTTCTAATAATAGTGCAATGCAAGTGCATGGTGGACACTTTTCTTTAAAAATTCGATTTTTCTAAGATTGGATACGAGTAGGCATTCATATTTTCCCGCAAAAACAATTACAGAGTTACCGGTCCTGTCGCAAAACGTTCTTTGAAATATTCTTCCGCATGCTTTAACACAATTTTTCGGTACATGTGCATTGATATTATCAATGATTTTTTACTTATATATATATATCTAACTACAAAACATTTTCACATTATTAATTTATGTTGTAAACAAAAATATTTTTATCAGTATTCATTGAAGAGATGTATTTATATCAAATGACAAGGAATGTTATTTTGCACTCGTTTATGTGCGCATATTTATCATGTTTATAGATCGGTTACAAACCCAAAACTAATTTACATAATGGAAATCTAGGCGATAGCAATACATTGGAGTGACCTCAAGGTCATCGCGATGTAAAAATGAAATAGACATTGAACTTTTTTTTTCAAAGTTAAAATTTTTGACATTTCAAATCTTAAAATCTCTGTGCCTAATCATTTTTTTTTCACTTATTGCGATAATTTAGGGTTTATTTCACATTTTGTTCCAGATCCGATGACATTGAATTATAAAACCAGAGGCAGGTACACTGCCTTTTTATTTACTCAAAACTCCTGTCCTGTCTATTTTTCCCATAAAAATCAAATGGTAGCTTCCTTACTACAACATGTATGGACACATCTTAGAATTAGTAAAACATGCAAAATATCTTCAGATCTAAAATGGAACACCCACATCCAACAAACAGCTGCTAAAGCAAATAAATCTTTATGTTTTATCAGAAGAAATCTCAAAGTCCAGTGACAAAAAAAATGAAAAAAGAGCATACCAAACTCTCATAAGACCCAAATTAGAATACTGCTGTACTTTATGGGACCCATATACAAAGGATCTTTATAAAAAGTACAGAGACGAGTGACAAGGTATGCATGTAACAGACATCACAAGACCAGTAGTGTGTCTGCGATGCTAGACACCATGAAATGGCAAACATTATTAGAACGCTGACTTAGAACAAGGCTAATAATGTTCCACAAAATTATAAACCAAAAGACTGCCATTCCATCCCAAAATTTATTACAGCAAAGTCAGTCCAATACAAGATCCACCAATAAAGATGCTTACAGACAAATCCAATGTAATGAAGACAGCTACAAATTTTCCTCAGAACAAAAAACGCCACTACAGAATTTTTTTTACCTTCAATGGTGCACTCACTCACGATGTGCTCCTTGAAACCTATCCACACCTGAAGTAATCAGGCAATCATGTTTTTATCTTAAATTGAAAGTAAAATAAAAAATGAAATATTCGAAAAAAAATTAGAGAAATTTACATGAAAGTGCATGAATACAAAAGTCTTCTATTAAATATTAATACCCTGTTCATAAAGTATTGATAATAATAATGATTATTTTGTTTTTGAATTTTGTGTAGTTTATATACAATTAAATTACAATATTTAGCCTTTTACCAATTGTTATAATTGTGTTTGTACTAATAAAATAGTGTCTATAGTATTGTCTATTGAATAATAGACCATCAAACTGATAAGATTGGGGATACATGTAATTAAAAAAAAAAACAAATATAAAGGGTCACTTAAGACATAAATTTTTTAATAAAAGTAGTACACTTGTGCATATATTAAAGTCCATTAATTGAGGTTCACTTATGATATTTCCCCCCTTTCCAAGGGAGTGGGGTTGGTGACAAGCATTATACACCCTCTGGGGGCCCCTTCCTTTATACAAGGTAATAGGACGTTCCGCTGGAAAAGGTCATCTTTTCAACCTTGAAAATATGTGAATAGGTCGGGAAGACTATCAGAAATATATGATTAGGTCAATAAAGTTCCCATAACTTCTTCATCTGTCATCTTTCCTGGTGTTCCTGGCTGTTTTTTATCAACCAATTTTCTCTCTTTTGACAATTTGGTACATGTATTCCACTTTTACATTACACAACACAAGAAAACCCAAACAATATGGGAAAAGGTAACATTTTTACCTAAGGAATATATGAAAAGGTATACATTTTTAAAATCTGAATTATATTATAAATGGTGGTGTAAAAGAACTCCAGCGGCACCCCCTATCATTTAAGTATTGAAGTACCCCCCTTCCCCCCCCTATCGGAGTATACACACAATTTAAATATGCCTCTGTCTAGAAGATGAAATAAAAGCATGATATGTTGAACTGAAATTTCTTGTATTCTTATCATATCATGTATCATTTTGAATGAGGTCAGTTGTATTAGATAACTATTATTTTTTCTTTAGATTTGCAAATTTTAGAACGCAGCATGACAGTAGACCAGGTCAGACTGCAGCAGCAGTTGCATACAGAAGGAGGACCAACCCAGTCTACTCTTTAAAGTTGCATGTTTGGACGGCCCTGAATTCACCAGTATAAATCCCATGATGATTAGACACTTGAGTAAGTGTGGTTTAAGTATACATTATTAACTCACAGTTTGGAAAGAAATTACATAATTCCAATACAAGTTACAAAATTTTACATAGTGTGTGATAATGATCTCTCAAAATAATTGTAATTTTAATCTGAAATACAAGGATTTGACAAAACTGTCTGGTAGTAACAATTTTAATAGCTGATTTAGTGTTATTTCCAATAGGTTGCAATTTTTACCACAACCTGTGATCCTGTATTGCTTGTTGCCATTTGTGTTTGACATTGCCTAGCTAAGAAATCAGTGATGCACAGATTTATATTGTTATTTGCAAAAAGAAGGTCAAGAGTTTAGAGTAATTATGTAATAGTTATACACCGAGGGATAGGTGTGTCTGGATAAGAAACCCTGTCGGCCGGAGGCCGGAGGGGTTTCTTATCCAGACATGCCGTATCCTGAGGTGTATAACTAACTTACACCCCATTCTAAACCCTATATTTGTTAACATTGATTATTAAAGGAAAAAAAAAATAAAAAAAAAAAACGATAGCATATTTATTGAAAATATCAAACCATGATTTATAAGAATATTTTTATATTACATGAAACCCCACTAGAAACCTTTCTTTGGTTATCTTTGTTCAAACTTTGACAAGTGAGTATATTTTACAAATGTCAAAGTTGTTGTTTTGCATATTCCTGTTAAACTGTGTGCTAATATGGATCAGCAGGTCAAGGTTGACTGTTTCGTGTATTCTTATTACAAACAAAAAATTCATCATGCTCCTTGTATACAGTTGTCAATATGGACGGGTATAGGACGGACAACATTTTGTGGCAAGCGTTGGATTTGATAGAAGAGACTAAAGATAAAGGCAATATTACAACCCAAAGTACTTACCTGTATCAGTTTAATAAAGGTAATCATAGCTGTATTTTATATCTTACAATTTTATCAAAAACAAAAGCCCCCCCCCTCCTCCTTCTCGAAAATAAACAAACATTCATATTCGAACATACTAAGGGATAGGTGTGTCTGCATTAGAAACCCGACTACCAGACAAGCTCAACATACAATATTTAATATAGAGGAACTCCCTTTTGGGGGACAATCAGGTAATGATCCAATCGGGGGTTCCCAACTCGAGAGAAAGCGGGGGGGGTTCCAACCATTCAAATGCATTCATCTTTAATAACCGCGGAACCCCCAACCCCGGATCGGCCACTGGATAACCGGGGGGGGGGGGGGGTGTCCGGGAGTTAGAATCCCCATTTTTTTTTAAAGATCAATGCTTTAGAATATAGACATATGACTGGGATAAATAAAGTTACCTTCAAGCAAATGAGTATTTAAAGGATTATTTTTTGTATTCAAAATAGATGCTTATTGGAATTTCCTAAAATGTGTTTTTTTAATATCTTGAAACAATTTGTAGTGAACACTATTAAGACTATATAGTTTTTTCTTATGTTCATGCTATTTAAAAAATAATCAATTTCTATTGTTACAAATAACAATGGACTTTGTTTGCGGGATGTAGAAGCAGGGGTTTCCAGAAACCCCCCTCATCACACCCTGTGGTCATAATCCATTGTTATTCGTAACAATAGATCTATTCAATTTACACTTGTTTCAGAAATAGAAACGATGAAGTATAACAATAGAACTGGGGTGTAAGTTATATGATTTTAATTAGGTTTGAATAATTTTACAAATCATATTTAGTTAAGAATTTCCATAAAAAAAACATTGGCAAAAATTAATTTCTTATTTACAGGATCCAGGAAGATTGTAATATCACGGAGTGACTCTGTAATAAACTTTAAGAAGAGAGTCATAGAACTCTTTCCAAAATTAGAAAGGGTTGATTTTGAGTTCTTCCAGCAAAGTTGAGGGAGAAACACAGACTTGAACAAGTAGTGTTTAATTCCTTAAAGGATCTTAAGGCCAATGTGAAATTCACCCTCTATATTAAACCTGCACCACAGCTAATCAATGTGAGTACAGTTAACTTGATGTACCTTTTATCTCCTCTAAAGAACAGGTTTAGATATTGTCTGATATATAAAAATAAGATTGTGGAATTATTGCCAGTGAGACAACAATACACCAGAAACCAATAGAACCAAATGATGTACATATAGGCAACTATATATATAAAGGTTACAGTAAAATCTTCAACCATGAGAAAAACACATTCTATTAAATGGGTATGTAACCTTTTTTACAACTTATATGTGATTGTTTACTTTTCTTATTTTTTTTTCAACAAACTTATTTTGTTCAGTCCTGACCAGGGGTACGGACTCCAATCTTTCATTTGTAATCAGCATTCCAATTCAGAAAATGACTTATTGGGTTTGAATTAATATAAAAATTTGGGATGTCGACGAGTACTAGAGTATCGCTCAAAAGTACCAAGTATCGAATACCAAAATGATACTTGACTAATATAATCAGTTTCTTTAAGAATGTTGTTGCCTTCTTAAATGAAAAATATTTTTATTGAGAGCGCTCGTCCAAGGAAAATAAAATATCAAAATTAAATATGTTTCTAATGTTCAAATTAATTTTCATTTGAAATTCCCTCGGACAGAGGTAGGCTATGAACAACAAGGATATTTCCAAGTCATACACTTTTAACTTATCGTGTTTTAGTCATTCGTCTATCACTGTACCGTCAGAGCAAATCTTTTCATCAGCAGGTCTGTGAGTTATGTTACAAAGTTATTAAAAGAAATCAGTTCATCCAAGAAACAGTTGAAAAGATAATATATCTAAATAAGAACAAATTCATTGCACCCTGTGTCGACCCTCAGAGAATGGTTAAAGGCATCAGTAAGTCACCCCTTTGTTGATCACTAAATGTGTTTTTTTACAATTCACAAATACTGTTGTTTAAGTTATCAGTTTTCTATAGATGCTTATTAATAGATTATTCTGGGTATAGTTTTGTGTTTCCATTTTGTAGATGTTTTTCTGATCGAGTACTCAAGTATCGCTCTGTAAATCTAAAGATTACTCGATTAGTAAATCCTCATCCAGATGACATCCCTAGTAAAAATAAAATTATTCTTTTATTTACCAATCCATGTTAAGTGTTGTTGAAATTCTCATTTTGATATCTACTGGTAAATTTAATGTATTCAACATGACAGACAGAATAAGGAATAGTCACTGCTTTAACCAGGAAAGTAATATCAGACAAATATTAATTTGGAGATATTTCTCATATCATTTCAAAATTCTATCTCATAGATTTATTTTTAAATAAAAAAACAGATATTTCATGAACAATCTATGCAAATTTGGGCGATTTTGCACGACTTGTAGCTTGAAGAATAGTAGAGTATGTTACCCATACTTTTTATTACAATTTTGACAAAAAGCATGGTAAAATCTACATTTTGGCAGAGTATAAGAAAATTCTATTCGAGAAAATATATGCCAATGAGCCACCTTAACATTGGCTGTTCATCTTAAACTGTTATAATCACAAACTTTGACATCTAAACTATAATTTAGATTAATTTGAAGGGAACCATTTATGATAAGTCAATGGTATTTGAATTGGTTATCATTTATATAAGCATTGGCATTTCCCGTTAAATTCATGGAGGATATAAGTCCCTGCACCTTCAGTCATGGTTCATTGGCTTAAAATGTTTTCCACAGTTAACATGGTTGAATATTGCCTATTTGATTTCAACATTTGCATTATACATCATATATCAAAATTACAAAAAAAACAGAATATCTCTGTGTCAGTAGTTTATTTTGAAATCTATTGTGTCTAAAGGCATATTTTTTTTGTATACCATAGATTTCTGAAGGTGAATCGGATGGAGAAGAGCTTCCACCATTGTTCCCTCCCAGAAGAAAAAGACAATCTGATGATGCTAATTTGACAGTACAAGTGGTAATTTTTAGAACACAGCCTAACAATATGCTATTCCCAAGTTACTTAAAGCAATGTGTTATCCCAAATAACATCTAGAATCATGAAAGCATGTAAATTGAAGCATGATCTGTTAATGTCTTTAATGAATTTTCAACACCTGTAAGTTAAATGTGAAAAACATTATTGCATAGATAATTATGGAATTTAATTTAGAAAAGTGCAGAATTATTTACTTTAATGAATGCTGTTTAAGTACAAGAGATCATACATGAAATTTTGTGCTTTCATGTTTGAATATTTTTGAAGTAAAGACGGAATAATGTGTCAATGTGTTCTTATATTAACATCCTGCTCAAGTTTGAACATGTTATATTCGTATCAAGGAGAGCCGTGTAAAATAATTAATTTACATGTTCCATCCTCATTATATATATGCACCTCAACATTATGGACAGCATGGATGAAGACTAAATTGGAGCATAACTTTAACAGTATTTTGTTCAGTTAAATTTTCATGATAAATTAGCAATCTTATCAATGTATAATGAATTTTTATTTTAACTAATACTATGGATTAATTTATTTTCGTGGGTACTAATTTTCTTGGATTGAGACAAACTTGCATTTTAGTGGATATTTGATTTCGTGGTTTTGCCAATGTCTGCATAAAACCTTATAGAAAATTTGTAATTCGTTGAACGTTTTAATTCGTGGTATATCTGTACCTATGAAACCCAAAAAATTGGAACCCCCACAAAAAAATAATTAATCCACAGTATACTGAGATCAACTTTAAAACTGAAATTGGTAATAAGCATTTATGTTTGATAACTAAAGAATTAGTTCAATAGTTTATAGTTATGAACACAGCAATCTTTTTAAATTGACAACACCCGTTTGAAGTCATCTACATGTATAACCATGCACATGCCCTCATCACCTCTATTTCCCCTTGTATACAAGGGTTTAAGGAAAAAAATTTAACATGAATGGGTAATTTAAAATATAAAACCATGTTCAGTACTTTCTGTTGCATAAAAAACTAATACAAAATAAATGTTTCATTGGTCTTGTATACAACTTTATCAATTTTAAGTTTAAAATTAAGTCTACTACAAATTCTTGATTTTATACAGCCACCTTAAAAATAAAATTGCATGTTTCAGATACACTTCAGATGAAAGCATGTAAGTAAATAGAAAACTAACAAAATAGAATGCAATTTATAACAGATTACTTAAAGTTGAAAGCTTTGTACAACATATCTTATTTAGATGCAAAAATTATATTTCGTAATGCCAAAGAAATAGAGTATATTACAGTTATATTGGAAACTTGTAAAGTGCATGATACTGAAAAGTAGTTGTCTTCCATTTAGTTAATGTTTTAACTTTAGTGACAGGTTTGCCCTATTTGCAGTTTCAAAACAAATACTTTTTAAAATGAATTTCAGGTCAAACATGATTTTATTGACCCAGCCATACTGGAATCATATGTTCTTTCAGGATTTTAAGACAGTGCAAAATAATGAATTAATGAATTCTGTCTTCTTTTATTCTGCAGTCAACATCTGACACACCAGATTCGTCAAGAAGTCGTCAAGAGAAATAGTACACTGTCTCAACCAGGTACCAGTGGAGCAAGTGTAAGTGAAAACTAGAACTGCTGTGTAAAATTGATAACTTCAACTTATTTTTTGGAGGTAATGACACCCTGTTGATTAAAAATATAGTTTTACTTATAGTGTCAATACCAATAAGTTTTATGCAAAGATTTGATTAAGGAATTTGGTTCATAATGTTTTTGCGAAAATTTTGTCTTCCACACATCATCATGGGCTACTTAAATACTTTGAAGGTATATTATAAGTCCATGAAACTTATGTTTAATAAAAAAAAGTAGGGAATTTCATTAACCATATGTGTATTTATCACATGTTTTATTTTTGAAGACAACCGTTACATCTGAGAGGTCAAATTCCTCATCCACTCAAATAACAAGTACATTGTCCTGAGACGTCTGGTAGAAATAGAGCAACTGTAAGTTACTTGGAATGCTCTTTAAAATTATAACTTGAAACTAGTTTCTGGTATGATAATCTGTTAAGGCATAAAGGCAACACAACACCATTTTCATTTGTTGTTCTGCAGATGTTTTGAAGATAACAATTAGTGCAAGCATATGCAACTTTCTATAGTAGTTTGCTGCTGGAAATCCCACTTTTAATATAAAGCAAACTCCAAATCAAAATTTAAAAATGTTAGAAATAAAACTTTCTTTTTCAGAATTATTCAACAAAATAACTTTGGACTAAATTATCATTTGACAAAACCCATTTGAAGGGGAGACAAATTAAATAAAGTGTTAGCATGTTCTATCTAACTTATTAAATCAGGGAATGTGGTATGAATGCCAATCAGATAACTATCATAAAGACTTAATAAGAAAGAAGATTTGTAGCCAGCAGCATGCTTTACAATTCCGTGAAATTAAATGTCTTACTAAGAATTGATTCAAATTAATGTCAATAATAGTTCATGTTCCAATCAGTTTATTGTACTGCAAAAAAAAAAATTGTGTTTGCTCTTTGAAAACAATGAAGAGATATTTAGCTTTTGCATTGTAGGTAGCCCTGGAAGGCTCCAACACACCATCATCAAGAAGAGGCAGTCATATCATCTCCTGTTGCAAGAAGATCTAATGTGAGTTTTTAAAGTACACGTCTTGACTATTCTCAACTCGTACAAGAAATTTGTCTGAGATGTAAAGACAACTAACACAAGAAATATTCTATTTTGAATCAAAAATACTTCGACATCATTATGCAAGTAACATTCTTTGATTTATTGACTAAGTCTTTGGTTGAAGTCTTTTATTTGACTCATCCTGCTTGAAATCCTACTTTTACCCCCACGTGGTGAGCAGGGGACAACAGTTCTAGTTATATAGATGTTATTATTGACAGTTCATAACATATATGTACACAATCTAATGGAAGAGATTGATAATTATAAATAAAAAAATTACATTCACCTGTAATTTATCTGTACATAATCAGCGCAAATAAAAGACAAAATCGGCGCAAGTGAAATGCTAATCGGCGCATATGCAAAACGCAGACTTAGTGTCACAATACTAAGAACAAAGTATAAAAATTAATTGAAATTAATATAACTCTCATCAGATTGGTACTAAGAACCAAAAAATATAATGAAAGACAAAAGATATTAAGTTTTGGTCTTGGAGTTCTCACAGTTGCTGAAGGCTGGTTAAACTCCAATTTCAATTACTAAATGAACTCTTTCATAATGGTATCTCTCAACCTCAATTCTTTTTGAAAACTTTGATTCCTTTAGTTTGCATAATTCTACCACAAAGTATATATTGTCAGTTGTCATCAAAAATTGATGAAAATTTCTGTTGTTTCTTCTGTGAACATTTTAGCAAATGCTTTTCATTTGAAGTCTATTATAAATTAGGTTATTCTTTTGTAGGCCACACCATGCAGAACTTGTTTATCATCTAACTCTGGTAGGCAAAGAAGAAGAACTGCTATAGCTGCTGATGATTTTATTCATGCAGTGGTATGTCGTAGTAAATTCTCACACCTCTTCAGTTTTGTATATGTCATTGCTTAAAACCAACAGTATGAAATTGAAACCTTGTGCTGTATAAATACTTTTGGCCATATATATATATATATATAATAAGAATATGTGGTATGATTGCCAATGAGACACCTCTCCACAAGAGACCAAATCAAATGACACAAAAATTAACAACTTTAGCTCACCGTACAGCAATGAGCAAAGCCCCTACGGCATAGACAGCTATAAAAGGCTCATGAATGACAAATGTAAAATGTAACATTTCAAACAAGAAAAACTAAAAACAAACATGATATACTGCAATAAACGACAACCACCTAATGACAGACTCCTGAGTTGACATTAAAAGGTTTCATACCTTGTGGAATGAAAGTCAAATATAAAAAAATGGTCAATGTCCCATGGAAGTAGTGGTCCAAATGATGATTTAATATGGTCAACTACATTTGATGGCAATCAATACTTGCAAGAATGTAAGCTTTCTGTCAAATGGTTTTAGAGGAGTTTCAATCACCAAGTGTCATTGTTGTATTCTAGTTAAAAAAAGGTCCAATTACTCCTGTAAAAATGTTATATCAAAATGGTAAAAAAAAACACAAGATGACAAAACAGTCTACAGATCATAGGAAACAATGATTTACCAAAATTAAGAGGCATCAATGTGGTCAACACAGGAAGAATTAACACTAGTCAAGATTAAATATTGCAGGTGTTGATTAATATCTTGATATTACCAACCAATCTTACAGGAAAATATATTTATGTTTTCAGTACAACTAACTATGGTCATATTGGAATTTTAATAAATAATAATTGATGATGAAATTGGTTACTTATTCAATGTCTTCTGAACCAAAATGAATACAAAAAACAATATATATCAGTTTATGTACTATTTTGTACATAAAATACAGACAAATCAAATAATCTGGATCATAATGCATGAGGTTTTGTGTTGGTAAAAGTTCTTTCATGGTTAAATTGTCATCCATGGAGATTCCTGGACAAAATTCTTAAAAAACAGTATAAGGAAGATTTTAAATGATTTGTGATTCAGTCTGTTTTTTGTATTACCAATAGTTCATCATTTTAAATCTAATTCATTAACTTTATTGCAGGTAGCTCCTGAAGCTTCCAATTCACCATCAACAAGAAGAAACAGAGCCCTATCATCTCCCAGGGTGGTTGCAAGTAGATCGAATGTGAAAAAAAAAACTTCATGTCAAATTTGGCTAGCTAAAATACTACTTTTGTTTAAAGATACTTTACCAAGTATTATTAAATATACAATAGAAACATCCACAAATGAAAATTTTAAAATTTAAACTGTAAAATATTATAGTCATATAAATCATTTACGTGAAATTTTAATGTAACAGTTATGGAAATCATTGAATCATTGAAGTCCTGTATGCACATTTTTCATATTTATTACAAATTATAACATATCAACAAATAATACTTCATTCAGTGACTGTTGATCGCAAGCTTAAAAAGTTTCTAGTTTGTTGGCAAAATTAACATGATCATGATATTTATAAACAACCAATGTAGAGCACGTGGGGCATGTGACGTATAAATGAATTTAATTTTTTCTTTATATATTTTCCATCCATTTTCATTTTTTTCATAAAAGTTTTCCTTAACAGTTGTTAAATGACGTGTTGTATTAAATTTATTCTTTAAGAAAAAGATATGACTATTTTCCTGCATTTTTGTTTACATTCTTTCACCGTTTTCCCTTCTCACTTGCCCTGTGTCATGATAATTTTATAGAGAAACTTTAAAATATATACAAAACTTCTATATTTTTTGCTTTGCTCTTTTTCAGGTAAGTGAAACTACAACTCAAGCCTATCATACTGCTGGTACTCCAACAGTCCTATTCCGATCAACTGCAGTTCCAACATCCACAGAACAAATGGCAACTGGACAATATGAACAACTGTCTACACCAGTCAACCCTCTGTCATATTGAAATGAAGAGATAATGAATTAATGTATGTGAGACATTGATCCTACAAACATGAATTCAGTTATTACACATTTGAAAAGTAGTATGTCCCATATCAGGGTCTTACAATTCAGTGGTTGCTGTTTGTTGCTGTACATCATATTTGTAACTTGTTCATTAATGTGTTTAGATAAATCAGGCCATTAGTTTGATTTTTTTTAACATTTTTTGTTTCACAGCCTTTTACAGCTGACTATGTAGTACGGGTTTTGTTGTTTGCATTGTTGAAGACCGTATGATGACCTATAATTGTTAACTTCTATGTTAATTAGTCTCTGGTGGAGAGTTGTCTCATTGGCAATTATACATTTTTGTATCACATCTTATTTTATATCAAAAAAAAATTGAGATCAAGTATTACATGGGAATTTATATATTAGTTAGAATATGTTTGCATCTTGCACATAAATAGTTTATGCATTTATTTTGTGTGTTTCAGGGATTTGGCTGTAGATGTAAACAATATCAATGCAATTTTTGAAGACATCCCAGAGGTTGGACTATTTGGAGAAATTGGGTAAAATTGATATTTTACAAAACCAAATAATTATAATAGCATTAAGATGAAGGTCAATCTTTGTTTTTGTCCTTGAAACTTCCCTCTGTTCACTTTCTTTTGTGTTCATGCTCTGACTTTTGATCAAGATATCCTGTTTTTAGGAAGATTACATATCATGTTTGGAAGGATTTTGATGGACCTGGTACTTGCTTCATCAATTTCTGATACAATAATACCAAAAGAACAAATTTGCCTGATTTTCAGGAAAACATGTAGATCATACTAAAACAGATAAAGTTCCATTGTGTTGGTTATTCTACCATTATCCTTTAACCTGAAAAAGGCAAAAACATTTGTTTAAAGTTAATTTGCAATTGCATTTTGAATGCTCTTTTCCAAATTAAATTCTCCAAACTTAAGTGTGAATGTTTAAAATTCCAGGTGAAAAATATTTTAAAGGTTTTTATTTTGCCTGCGACGAAATTGGCAGTATTAGAGACCTATGGATAACTGTCTTGGGGCAGTGCTGTAAACTATTTGTATAAAGCCTTATATTTCTGAAGGACAATGACCTGGATGCTTTATACCTTGTATGCAGATACCTTATGTTACGAAGTTATGTTACACCTTTTGGTAACAGCACATTTTGGATTGTATGTTAAGGCAAAGCTTGTAAATATGATACTAGTACTACACAAAATTGTACAAACTAATCTTCAAATACTATAGTTTTATGTTTGTACATGTATTGTTGCTTAAGAGGAAAGTGCTTTCATTGGAAAGAAATTTTTGAAAGATATGAAAGTGATATTCAAAAGACAGTTTGCTGTAAAATGACATCTGAAAGTGATTTTTTTTATTATTTTTAGGCAAAATGAGTGTACAGAAAATTTCAGAAAAAAAATTAAAGAACATAAGGAATTGTTCATCCACAATGACTCGGATGACCCATTACTGATGGAGGTGAGAAGGGAAAATCCTGTGCAGGATTCCTTGGCCTTCATCAGTATCAGCCAAGATGATCTGCACAGCCCACTAAGGATATCTTTCACTGATGAGGACGGTTTTGATCTTGGGGGATTGAGACGGGAATTTTGGAGTCTCTATCTCCACAAGATAACTAGTTCTGTATTTGTTACAGGTATGCCAAAATTAATATTGATTGAATAAACATTAGTTTTTAAATGATAAATTCACAAAGAGGTTAATTACTTTTACAGTTAAGATATTTTGCCATCTATCATTTGAACATTTTAAGTTTTCTGTGCTAAACTTTGGTTGTATATATGCAATCTAAATTGTTTAAACCTAGATTGGGATTGAATTGAAAATTTGAATCACAAATATTCTTAAATAGGGACCAAAGAGGGCCTGTGTGCAAATTTTTACAGAATTTCAAAGAAAAATACACAAATATATCAAATTATAAAATTTTGTTGTATGAAAATTTTTAAAATATCTTTTATTTTGACCTGCATTTTAATCTGGTTATATTTGGTCTGATGTGCGCTTGGATTGACAGTTTTGAAACATTTGGCATATAGCAAAATTACTTTTATTCAGGTCTATTATATTATCAATATTATAAGATAATGTCCTTTTTAACGATTTTAATGATCAAAGACATTGGATGAATCAATGCAAAGTTCCTGTACAGCATTGTTTGTATTACTGATACAGCTTATGTTAACTTTAATGATTTAGAATCCCATTGAACTTCTCATATAATTACATACACCACAATTACAACTGCTTAATATTGCTCTTAAGAGATTCAGTGATTGTATTAAGAGCAGTATAATGTTTCAACTGTATTGTTAGTATGATTTTGGTACTTTGTTCAAATTTCAGGAAAACCAGGATGCCAAACCTTGCGTGACAACTTTATTGCAAGGACCCAGAATATTTTTTTTCATCTGGGACAGCTGGTCGCCTTATCCATCATTCAAGATGGGCCAGGTCTTCCCATCTTTAGTGAAATAGTTACAGACTATATCTTGCTTGGGAAACCCTGTATTTTAAATGTAGATGATTTGCCAGAGGGTTTAAAGAATACCATTGTCATGGTAAGTTTTCTATTCATATTTTTCGTAAAATGAAGATGGGGTGTGAATATTGTATAAATAAGCTTGAACAAAAAATCTGAATGTAATAAAGGAATAGAAAAAAAAATTTCAGCATCATATTTTTTTAAAATTTATTAAATCTCAATTCATAATCTCATGTTCCATAACCTTTATGGAATACCAGTAACTGTTGCAATAAATTATTATTTGATTTTCATATAATACTCTTTTTTTTGTTCCATCATTTTTGTAAATTAAACTTGACCCTTCATTGGACAGGTTACTTAGCCAGTCCCATTCAAAAAATACAAAGTTTTTTGTCAACTTAAATAGATTGTCTGATTGTTGATGAAAGTGGCCAGTTGGGGGGGGATAAGATGATACATAATTCCAATAAAAACAGATAACACTACTGCAAAAAAAGGATTAAGATGAACTTTCAACTAAAAATTAGAGATTGCACAACATGAACACAACAAAAAGCTGGTAAGATTGAAGTCTCCTTTTCAAAGACTGCATACATACATTTGCTCTTTCATGTACAAGTACTTATTTTGTATCTCCTAACTGCAACTATAAATTCTATTAACATTTCTTTCAGATGCAAGATTGCACTTCAGAACCTGACCTACAGAATATGTACTCTGGTATATTTGATGAAGCTGTCGATGCCAGATTTATAATTCCAACTTCATCATTTAATTAAAAACATGTAAACATCCTTCAGGCTGCGTTATTGGAGACCCAACTTAACAAGTGTAAGAAAGAACTTGATCAGTTTATCAAAGGTATTTAACATTGGTTTATGACATATCTAAAGTATGCAGCTTATAATTTGGTATGACACTTGTTCTAAGCTTATTGGTTCATATTCCTATATTGCAGACATTCTTAACTGAACTAGGTTTTCACTGAGCTAATACACATTTTTTGCTTAAGGGGCCAGCTGAAGCCTGCCTCCAAGTGTGGGATTTTCTCGCTGTGTTGATGACCCTTTGGTGACCTTTGGCTGTAATCTGCTCTTTGGTCGGGTTGTTGTCTCTTTGACACATTTCCATTCTCAATTTTATTCTTAATATCTGGATAATGCTTTTATTATAGAAATATGTCTTGATTTGATTTAGGGCTTATATATATCAGTGATAATGCTTTTAGTTCCTGAAAATTTTTAGAAAATCTTTTGTTGAACAACTGGTAGAGAAGTTTTTCCAAAAAAAATAAGTTTCAATATGACCATAATATTTTGTATATTGAGATCTGATTGTCTTTCTTGATTTGAAAGAAATGATTTTAGGGCGCAACCCAGTTGAGCAATTAAGGTTAAATTGAGACAGTGCTCAACTATTTTTAAAAGTAGCATAATTTGGGTCTTTGTCAAATTTTCATGTTCACGATGGTATTAATTTTTCTTTTTCAGGCCCCTCCTATGATAGGAGAGGGGTATGATACTTTCTGGTTTGTGCACATCAGTTGTTATTTCTTTTGTCCATCAATCTGTCTTTTATATGTGAACATTTTTCACCAATTCAGTTAACCATAAAGTTTAGTCACTTTAACTTGAAAGAAATGTTCTTTGCAAATTCCCAGAAAAAAATACAGTTTTTACCCTATTTTTACTGTTAACAATGAACCTTGAAATGGGATAGTCTGAAACCATTACATACATAATTGTCTGGTTAAAGGTTAAAGTTGAGGTAATATATCTATAAGTTGTTGTCACGTCAACTTGAAAGTGGGAGCAGGGAATGATGTTCTATAATCACATATTCTTGTTTGACTTCCCATTTATGAAAATACATTAAGAGAGATGCCAATTAGTTACAAAACAAAATGGAATAACCTTCTGTTTTATGTCAGACTGATAAACATGCATATAATATGTATTTTAGAGAATATTTGATACTTATGAAGTTTTCTGGAAGTTTTCATGATCTAAATATTTTTTAAACAGGATTAGACACTCACCAAGTTTTAAGCCTGTTAAAACAGGATGTCAACATTGCCTGTGCTAGGACACTGTTCAGTGGAAGAGTCAAACCTTTAACAGTCCAAACATTAAGAAATCTGTTGAAGTTCAAGTACGATACAGGGAATGCTGCCTTAGACCAAAGGGCATCCGGTCAAGGATTTTTAACATTTCTTCAGGCCACTAAAGGTGAGTATTTAGAGCTAAACCAATTTATTGACATACAGCATGATCAGACGATATTGATTTGATATTTGGTATATATAGTTTCATCATGACCAGTTACAGATCAAGTTCAAATTTTATTTGGTTCAGATGTTTGTTTTTCAGTGTTATGAGTTTGAAATTTCTATTAACACTAAGCACATAATGATTTATAGCACAGATTTTTTTGAAAAGTGATGTACTCAATGTTCAAAATGATTCCAATTTTATTTTAAAAATTGGAAAGAATCGAGAAGGCAGATTTGAATATAACTAAGATTTTAATGGACAAATAATTTATTTAAGAAAAAAATTCATTGTTTTAAAACAGGTTCCTATGAACTACCAAAAACAAGAGTGTGATATGGGAAACATTACTTCCCCCCACAATATCTATTCAGATGTAATGATCAGGAGTTTTTGGTTCTTCAGCAATTTCAAATTTGCTGTTAATTATGTATGTTATAACATGGTCAGTAGATAAAGATTTTTTGTTTTAAACAGGAACATCAACTGTTGTAAATGGAATTGATATTGGTCCAAAGGAAGTCTTGATGTGGTTGACAGGGTCAACAGCAATTATAGCAATAGGCTTTCACAAGCCAATAGATGTATGTTTCGGAAGCAGGACATTTGTAAACACCTGCGCCTTGGCATTGACCTTGGAGGTTAGACCTGAACTTGCCCCAGCTGAAGCTGTCAAGTTTTACAGCGAGATCATAATCATAATTTTGGCCATCAGTCTCTGTCCTTGAAAACTTATAAATTGTATTGTGTGAAAGCTAATTTTAATTATTTAAGGAATGACTGTAGCAGATTATTTTAAAGTGTGCACTGCATTTTTTATGTTATTTCGAATAGACCATTTACAAAGACCTGAAATGAAAGTTTTATAGTTCTCCATGAAAAGGGAACAAATTTGACCCTGGAAATTATAAGGGTGAATCCATCAGTTCTTACTTTGGCAAGCTGTTTAATAAATTTTTATCTTTAACAGACAAATTAATTTCATAAAAAGTCAAATCTTAATCAACAAATATCAGATGAGTTTTAAAAAAATTGTTACATCTCCTTGTTTTACTCCTAGCTGAGATAAAAATGCAGAAATGAGTCCATTTGAGAACTTGATTCTGCATACTGAGTCAGTAAACATTGAATAAACAATTCTAAAAATTCTATTTGGAATATCATGTATCAAAAGTTTATTAAACAATCCTAATCGCCCTGCTTATCACATATTTTCACTAAAATCAGTAGTTGATCATTATAAACAACAAAATTAATATTTGCAGCTTTTATCGATCTTAAAAAGTCTTTGATACAGTATCGCTTAAAACTTTACACACTTCTTAGTTATATTAATCTAAGTTATTGAGTTTTTTGTTAAAAAAAAAGGGTGGTTTCACATGTCGCGTCGTATCTCAAAAAAGATTTATGATTATTGCTTAAAACTTTTAATCCCTCTTGCTGCCCGTAGTTTTTTATGATTTTCATTTTTTGTGCCAGAAAATATTAAAGCTCGACGTCTGTGACGTCACATGCAAAACAATGACATCATTCAAAAAATGCCGTAATGACCGTTCAATTTTGCATATGAAGAAAAATATTTCTCTAGTTTTTGTGCCATTTTAAAATTTCCAAGTAGGAGTGTGATAAAGGGTAGGCATGCGATAAAGGGTGTGATAAAGGGTAGACATGCAATAAAGGGTGTGATAAAGGGTCTGCATTAAAGTTGAGTGATACAGATTAACCAGCAGGCTATTTATCAAATATTCAAAACTACTGTATTTACTTCTAAATATATGATAAATTATAATAAAGTATTTATATCATCTGGCATTATTTTTCCGAATTGTTCTTGTGAGATTGGGATGATTTACAACCTATTACCACTTTCCATGTGTTTCCGGATAACGTTTTTTTTAATCAATATTGAAATAGATTGTATATTAACTTTTTCTACATCATTATTCAGGTAACTGAATCTCTTATTGTGAGAGAAACTTTACTTAATTCATGTACATATATTTGTAAATCTCTGGAGTAAAAAAAATATAGTTTCTATGATTTGGATTTTCTTTTGTTTTAGATTAATGTGAAAGAAAGAGGACCTTTTGTGTTATGTGTTGTCAAAATGGGACCACTAGTTTATGTATTTTTTCTTATTTTTTAGAACTCAATTGAAAGAAATCCTGCCCAAATTCAATCTGCAGCTGAACCTCTCCCTCTCCCTCCAATAAGACGTCCAAGAAGAAGGACAGCAACTGCAGCAAATGACTTCATCAGAGCAGTTGTAAGTAAATCAATCCAAGATATGTTATTTTAGAATTGAGTTTCAGCTTCATTGAATATTGAATATTGTGAAATATAATCCACTCCATCTATCCTGATAATTATATTCGCTACAGACATAAATGATGGTAAAATTTAGGTAAATGGTAAAAAGAAAGTCACAAAACTTGAAGACAAAAAAGTCACAAGAAGAAAGTCAATATATGACAGAGTAAAGTTATTTACTTTTAAAAAAAATAAACAAAATAAAATGAAAAAATATGTTTGAATGCATAGAAAAGGAACGATAATATTTTTGTTTGAGTTCAATTATTTGTGGTAGATATTAATGGTAGATTTTTTATAATTAAAAAAAAAAATATTTTAGCAGATTTTTATTAAAAATTTCATATATTAAAATATATGTCTGAATGTACCTCTACAGTTTCCAGATCAAAACTTGAGAATGGTGTATGAACAATGGATTTTTGGCCAATGACGTTACGTTATATTGTTCATAAACCAATCAAAATGATTTGGTGTACGTTTCACCCACAATGCATTGGATTCTGAGATGGCAAATTGGAGAACTTTTCAATTTTATATTGTTCTCTATGATATATAGGTTCCATAGAAAATAGATTTACTTATGTACACATGTAATGATGTACAAAACCTTTCGCTATAAAACCATGACTTACTTACATGTATCCTATGTGAAGAATATTGATCAGTTCAAAATGACTGATACATATAATTATATAATATACTTTATTTTGAAACACTTAGACACATACATGTGTAGCAAGAGGCAAAATACATAATCATATTTGTGGTTGCTATAAAACAATGTTGACATAACCATATAGAGTATAATAACAATATTTGAAGTATTATTTCTTAATGAACAGTGATAAGTTCCTCATAACTTTGATATTGAAAATCAAAGCATTCCTTTCATTTTCTCAAGACATGGATAAATGTAGATAAAACAGAATTAACATTTGCATTGTCCGTTAAGCTATGACTTCATGTTTTGAATAGGACGCATTGCCAAACATTGCAATATTTCAATACATTGATCCTAATACACAGGTAGTAGTTTTAATTTTGTGTTATTGTTTTCATTTACATATTCTACTTTTAGGACTAATGTCCAAAGATAACATAGTATAGACTGCTTCATGAGTTAAGTATTTATACCAAAGATGTTCATAAATATGCAATGACATCTTGACGGTGAAACTTCAAAATGAAAATAACTTGAAGCAATTTTCAGAAGTATCAAAATAAAAAAAAAAAAAAAAAAGATTTTAACACAAATTAACTTTTACCAATCAAAGGGAAATAACTCAAAAAATATTCATTGCATTTGAAATTTTTTTTTTTGAAACAAAGAGTGGTGCTATATTTAAAAAATATCAACAAATTGAAACTTGAAAAGAATTATGTGAAGAGTGCAGCTGATTAACTCATAAATCTAGTTATATTTTCAATTCAATGTACACTTCGTAATGTAAACCATTGATCGAAAGTATTACAAATACCCCCTCCAGCAGAGCATAAACGGTAATTTCATTAAACTGGGTGACTATACCCTTTGAAGGTTTATATTTTGTATTTTTTTAACTTACTCTTATTTATTATTTTTATTTATTTTTTACTCAAATTTTTTTCATTTCTTTTCTTTTCCATGTTTTATTATTTTGTTTATTATTTTATTGGCAAATATAGGCAATGATAGGTATAGAAACTCATAGCAGCAGGATTACTATTGGTATCATGTTTGAATCAGAGACCAGACCATTAATTACTACATAACATACATTGGTTAGATATTCATTACTTATTGTCAGTTGTGTGGGACATTTTTCAGTCATTTTATATTTAAATTATGTTATCAAACCAAATGTGTCATATATACTCTGAATGAAAAATAATCTTATTCAGATTGTCTCATACAACTGCCAAGGACTAAATTCAATTGAAAAACGAAGAGATGTTTTAGACTATCTAAGAGCAAAAGATTGTAACATGTACTGTCTTCAAGATACTCACTTTTCTGAAAAAGACGAACAATTTGTTAAGAATCAATAATGTGTTTTTAGTTCCTTTTCTTCAAATCAAAGAGGAGTGGCCATTTTATTTAATGATAATTTTGAATATAAGATTTTACAAAGTAAAAAAGATCAAAATGGTAATTTACTAGGATTGAATATTAAAATTGAAGATAACAATGTTACTTTAATTACATTATATGGTCCAAATAGTGATAGCCCTGATTTCTATGACAAAGTAGGTGAAATAATTGAGGAATTTGATAATCAGACTGACATTATGACGGGAGATTATAATTTAGTGCAAAATCAAGACCTTGATACTTTTAGTTACTTAAATTTAAATAATCCAAAAGCCAAAGAAAAAGTTCTAGATATAAAGGAAATTTATAATTTAACTGATCCCTTTAGAGAATTATATCCAGAAAGTAAAAGGTATACTTGGAGGAAACCAAACCATATAAATCAGGCCAGACTAGATTTTTTTTTAGTTTCTCAGAGCTTTTACCCAAATATACATGACTTAAAGATACAAAATAGTTATAGATCAGATCACTCGCCTATTATTTTACAAATAAAACTTAATAACTTCAGTATTGGGAGGGGTTTGTGGAAATTTAACAACTCTCTTAGTAGACTCTAGTGATATCGAGTTCACAATTAGTGATCAATTATTTTTAGAAACATTATTAACTGAAATAAGGGGGAAAACAATATCATATGCTTCATTTAAAAAGAAAGAAACAAATAAATTAGAATATCTGCTAGCTGAAAATATAAACAAGTTGGAAGAAATAATACAAACAGATGAAATTTTGGAACAGATTGAAAAAAAGAAAACAGATTACAAAATTCTAAGACAAAATAAATTGAGGGGTCAATATATAAGGTCAAAAACACAATGAGTAGAAGAAGGAGAGAAACCATCAAAATATTTCATGAATTTAGAGACAAAAAATTACGTAAATAAAACAATTCCTAAATTAATTGATAAATCGGGAAATATAATTGAAAACCAAAAACAAATTCTAAACAAAGCCAAAAATTATTACAAAAATCTATATTCCAAAAATGAGACAATAAAATATATTAATTTAAATAATGCTATACCCCATAAAGATATACCAAAATTATCGGAAAATATGAAAGAGTCCTGAGAAGGGGAAATATCATTTATGGAGTTGACTGATGCAATTAAAAGAATGAAAAATGAGAAAAGCCCTGGATCTGATGGATACACAAATGAATTCCTAAAATTTTTTTGGATAGATATAGGTAAATTTGTACATAGATCAATTAAATATGGTTATAAGGCCACACCAATTTGATTAATAGTTCTTTGGATTTTCCCGCTCCTGTTTTGGAGAAATCAAGTTTTTAACAAAAAAAATAACTACCGCTTCCATATTTTTTTGGTCCGCATGCTGCTCCGAAATTAGTCTTGCCTTGAAATTTTTTTTTCTCACTGACGCTTTCTTTTTGCATATAATCAAATCTCGGTTCAAACGCACTTGTGATCAATCAATAAAATGTGAAAGGAAATATAAAAATTTATCAAAATGGCAAGTCCAGTTGTTGTGGTTTTGGCTCAATGCTGTGGACAGACAATCATTGAACAAACAGCTATCCGTTGTTCGTCATCATTTACATTTGAAGATATTTTCTATGAAGCGAAAAGGGTAAAGTTCGTCAATATTTCTTTTGATGATATCAAACACATACAAATTCGTCAACAACCGTCGGCATCACCTATCAATGTTTGCACTGACTAGGATATTTCTGTGTTGGGCGAGTTAAACTGTAAATTTGTGAATTTTGAAATAGAAAGACGAACACCCTCAGATCCAAACAATAATTTAAGTGAATTACCAAGAGGTCCCCCTAAAAAGAATGCATTTGCAATGTTAATGAAAAAAACAATAGAACTTCCTAAAAAACCTAAACCAAAAACGTGTGAACAGGGCAAGGAGAAATTGATAGGCCCAGAGAAACTGTTGTGTGACCTTATTGACATAGCTGGTACAATGGAGTGTGGGTGGACATCAGATACTTTGGAATCGGGAATAATTGTATTGAATAAACTAAAAAATGCTTTGTGGTATATAGACCATATCCATAAAAGACTGCAAGAAAATGGATGTCAAGTTCCAACTATGTTTCAGTCGTTTCACGGGTATAATAGTTTCTGGAAATTTCATCATAAGGCACCTTCTGTGACATCTGAAAAACTTGATATTATTTGTTCTGATCTTGCAAAAGCACTCAGTTTTCCATCAATGCAAACTAAACGAAATAAGATGTTGTATGATAATATTGAGGCTCTTCTTCAGTGTTTAACTAAATATAAAACAAAACTAGACAAAGATAATTTTAGACATAAAATTGTGCATCATGAAAGAATGGAACCAGCAAGAACTGTAGAACAGGGTTCTATGACTAAATGCATTCCTGCAGTGCAGAATGTAGATAACCGATACGGAAAACTAGATTCTGCCAATAAGAAAGTTGCTAATTTACAGTTTATTGATCTTGATAATTATTCACCAGAAGATCATATAAAACGACGGATTTATGTTAATGAGTTGGGACTTTCTTGTCCAATTATGCTTTTTTGAATGGCATATGGTGGTTCAATAGGCACTCTAAATTTTGTTTGGCCGACCTCATCAGAAGATAGTGTTGAAACCTCAGAGCGTAATGCCAAAATAATTGCTAAAATTACTTAACTTTGCCTAAATATTCTAGTAGAGCTTTCAGAAGAGATTTTATAAACAAGTATTCACAATTCATTAAAACTCCAAAAAGTGTTTTGAGGCATATGTTTTCTGACTTAACTGGTTGTGAAATTCAAGCTCAAAATAAAGTACAGGATGAAGTTAATCAACGGGTAACTGAAATATTACTAGGAAGTGATGACCCTGAATTATTACTTGATTTCAGGAAGCTTAATGGCAAAGAAGTTGATACTAAATTTGATGTGTTTTATGTACAATTCACACCTAATAATGCTTTCCAAAAATCTGCTTTCTAATATAGTGGAAAATTTGATGTTAAGTTTAGAGTTCAGACATGCCAGGCAAGGGTTAATCATCAGGATGCACGTTTCGTTGCAACATACTTTAAATATTTGAAAGAATTTTGTGTCAAATTAAGACAATTTGTAACATTTGTTTGCCTGGATGATAAGACTATTGTACCAGTTGGAGAACCAGGATGCCCAATATCTACAGGTGTAAGAGGTCACAACAGGGTATTAGCACCAGCATCAGGTCCACAACTTGTAGTTACTGATCATGATTTTCATCTGGCTGGAATAGTTCCATCAGTGGCATTAGTTACCACCATCCCAATACACTGTAATGACAGCTTTTTTCAAGGGAAAATATTTGTAACCACAAAAGACAAAGTATTCGAAGCTTCAGGTCCATGTAGACATGCCACAGAGATCACTAAAAAATTGAGGGAACATTATTCTGATAATAATGTCGATTTAAATACACCTGTCCTTTGCTTACTTACTGATGGTGGCCCAGATCACAGGGTCACATTTGAAACTAAAGATATCTTTGGTACAACTATTTATGCAGCTAGATTTAGACATGCTAGTTGCAATAAGGACAGCTCCAAATCATAGCTGGATGAATCCTGCGGAACGCTGTATGTCCTTATTAAATCTTGCTCTTCAACATGTAGCTTTAGAAAGAAACACCATGGATGAGAAATTTGAAAAAGCTATCAAAAATAAATCTTCACTAACAGCTATATGTAATCTAGCCGAATATAAAGAAGGCTTTAGAGCAGCCTTTTCAACCAGCATTAATCAAGTTATTGACAAAATTAATAACAGGTTCAGTAGAATGAAACTAAAAGGGGAAAACATAATAACATACAAAGGTGTAAAAAAGGAGGAAATTGAAGACAGTCTAGATATTGTATGTCAGTTTGTTCAAGCAGACCACACAAAACTCAATTCATCAATGAACAGTAAAGAATTGCACAAATTGAAAGATTTAAAGGTATGTTTAACATATATTTGTATTTTACCCCCTTTAAGATATCAATTTTAATATTTATGCTTTGTAAAAATGTTTTAAAAAGACATACTTCTTATTATTATAAGAAAGCATTGAAGGGACATGTTTATTTGAATAAAAGGGGATTTGTGATATAAATCTATGAGACAGTAACCCAGCAACAAAAACAATCAAAAGACCAAGAGGACATTCTCAGGACAACATACTGTCTTCAGCAATAGACAATTGTTAAGCTCTATATTGTCATGAGTCTTTAACCAGAAGCAAGATCTGCCGTCATCTGAAACCTAAAAATTCTTCAAATATTTAACAAAATGATTAAAAAAATATACTGTCATGACTGTCTAAATATATAATGCTCTTAATTAATAAAATAGCTTTTTACATGTATCCCCTTGTAATCATAGTAATGAAATACAAACAATTTAACATTGTAAACATTTTACCGACACAACTTTAAATTGGATGTTCACCAAACTTGCTATATGCTTAAATATAACATTAGCAAGAAACTTATTGCAATGCAGTCAGAGGTCAAAATCATACATGTACATGTAGCATCACTTCTAAATTTTGAAATAGGTTGCACAATTAATACATGTACATGTGTATGTGTTTTTTCTGTTCTTTATTAAACACAATTCAGAAGCAGTGTGCATAGGAGGTGTAATCAATCAATTCAGAAGCAGAAATCATATACAGTGTACTTGTATTGCCCATTTAGCAAATAATTGCTTTTGATATAAATTAAATTTGTTTTCCTACAAGTAGAAGTTCTTTTTTAATATCAGTAGACATATAATGTGATATTGATTGTACATACTTCATGTACTTGATTATCTGTGTAATTGAAATGCATTTAATTTATATATAAAACAGGATTTTATTGAATGGCATGGGAAGTCTTGTCACTACGGATTTCAACTGAAAAAATGTGGAAATTGTCCATATTGTGTCTTAAATCCAATAAGACTTGATGATGCTGTGTTCAACAAGCTTCATTTTTTGCCAGATCCTATTCCTGATGAAACAGGCCAGCATTATAAACCATTTGATCAGGTATTGATATACAATGCAATAGTTAATATTAAAATAAAAAGATGTGGTATAATTGCCAATGAGACAACATTCCACCAGAGACCAAATGACATAGAAATTAACAACTATAGGTCACCTGACAGACTTCAACAATGAGCAAAATCCATACGGCATAGTCAGCTGAAACTCAGAATGTTTTCTCATTTACAATCAATCAACTTATGTTTGAAACCTTCACCAGAACACACTTCTTAATGATTTATAATTATTAATTTGGGTATATATACATAAATAACTAATTCACATTTTCAGTTTTGCATTATAATAGAAGTAAATCAAATTTTAATGTACACCCTGGACCCATTAAAAAACAGTTTTGTATGTTAAAGGCCTTTTTGGTCTCTGGACACATCTGTCCATGATATGATTCAGCTCTCAAAATTTGAATGAAAAAAAAATCTGTGTTAATATCTTCATACAATATTTATTAGACAACAGGCATTTATATGATAGAAAGCCAATAAATTAATTGAAAGATGCACTTTTACTTCTTTATCTATATTAACAAGATCCTATCAGCCAATTCTTTTTTAGCTCACCTGGCCCGAAGGGCCAAGTGAGCTTTTCTCATCACTTGGCGTCCGTCGTCCGGCGTCGGCGTTAACTTTTTACATTTTGAACTTCTTCTAGAGAACCACTGAATGGAATGAAACCAAACATGGCATGAATGTTCCTTATGAGGTGCTGACCAAGTGTTGTTACTTTGTAGCCGATCCATCATCCAAGATGGCCGTCAGCGGGGGACTTAGTTTAACATAGGACCCTATGGGAAATGCATACAAATGACTTCTTTTAGAGAACCACTGAATGGAATGAAACCAAACATGGCATGAATGTTCCTTATGAGGTGCTGACCAAGTGTTGTTACTTTGTAGCCGATCCATCATCCAAGATGGCCGCCAGCGGGGGACTTAGTTTAACATAGGACCCTATGGGAAATACATAAAAATGTCTTCTTTTAGAGAACCACTGAATGGAATGGAACCAAACATGGCATGAATGTTCCTTATGAGATGCTCACCAAGTGTTGTTACTTTGCAGTCGGTCCATCATCCAAGATGGCCGCCAGCGGGGGACTTAGTTTAACATAGGACCCTATGGGAAATACATACAAATGTCTTCTTTTAGAGAACCACTGAATGGAATGAAACCAAACATGGCATGAATGTTCCTTATGAGGTGCTCACCAAGTGTTGTTACTTTGTAGCCGATCCATCATCCAAGATGGCCGCCAGCGGGGGACTTAGTTTAACATAGGACCCTATGGGAAATGCATACAAATGACTTCTTTTAGAGAACCACTGAATGGAATGAAACCAAACATGGCATGAATGTTCCTTATGAGGTGCTCACCAAGTGTTGTTACTTTGTAACCGATCCATCATCCAAGATGGCCGCCAGCCGGGGACTTAGTTTAACATAGAACCCTATGGGAAATGCATACAAATGACTTCTTTTAGAGAACCACTGAATGGAATGAAACCAAACATGGCATGAATGTTCCTTATGAGGTGCTGACCAAGTTTTGTTACTTTTTAGCCGATCCATCATCCAAGATGGCCGCCAGCGGGGGACTTAGTTTAACATAGGACCCTATGGGAAATACATAAAAATGTCTTCTTTTAGAGAACCACTGAATGGAATGGACCCAAACATGGCATGAATGTTCCTTATGAGATGCTGACCAAGTGTTGTTACTTTGCAGTCGGTCCATCATCCAAGATGGCCGCCAGCGGGGGACTTAGTTTAACATAGGACCCTATGGGAAATACATACAAATGTCTTCTTTTAGAGAACCACTGAATGGAATGAAACCAAACATGGCATGAATCTTCCTTATGAGGTGCTGACCAAGTGTTGTTACTTTGTAGCCGATCCATCATCCAAGATGGCCGCCAGTGGGGGACTTAGTTTAACATAGGACCCTATGGGAAATGCATACAAATGACTTCTTTTAGAGAACCACTGAATGGAATGAAACCAAACATGGCATGAATGTTCCTTATGAGATGCTGACCAAGTGTTGTTACTTTGTAGCCGATCCATCATCCAAGATGGCCGCCAGCGGGGGACTTAGTTTAACATAGGACCCTATGGGAAATACATAAAAATGTCTTCTTTTAGAGAACCACTGAATGGAATGGAACCAAACATGGCACGAATGTTCCTTATGAGATGTTGACCAAGTGTTGTTACTTTGCAGGCGGTCCATCATCCAAGATGGCCGCCAGCGGGGGACTTAGTTTAACATAGGACCCTATGGGAAATACATACAAATGTCTTCTTTTAGAGAACCACTGAATGGAATGAAACCAAACATGGCATGAATCTTCCTTATGAGGTGCTGACCAAGTGTTGTTACTTTGTAGCCGATCCATCATCCAAGATGGCCGCCAGTGGGGGACTTAGTTTAACATAGGACCCTATGGGAAATGCATACAAATGACTTCTTTTAGAGAACCACTGAATGGAATGAAACCAAACATGGCATGAATGTTCCTTATGAGATGCTGACCAAGTGTTGTTACTTTGTAGCCGATCCATCATCCAAGATGGCCGCCAGCGGGGGACTTAGTTTAACATATGACCCTATGGGAAATACATAAAAATGTCTTCTTTTAGAGAACCACTGAATGGAATGGAACCAAACATGGCACGAATGTTCCTTATGAGATGTTGACCAAGTGTTGTTACTTTGCAGGCGGTCCATCATCCAAGATGGCCGCCAGCGGGGGGCTTAGTTTAACATAGGACCCTATGGGAAATACATACAAATGTCTTCTTTTAGAGTACCACTGAATGGAATGAAACCAAACATGGCATGAATGTTCCTTATGAAGTGCTGACCAAGTGTTGCTACTTTGTTGCCGATTTACTGTTCAAGATGGCCACCAGGATATTTTATTAAATAACGGGACCAATATTAATCAAAATTTGGCCTCAATCATTATTTGGGTATCTGTTATGATTTTTATCTATCTTTACATGATTTCTAAAACCAAAGTAGAGTCAGGTGAGCGACACAGGCTCTCGAGAGCCTCTAGTTTTTTGTTGCAGAACCTAGTTCATAGTTTTAATGAAAACTATTCACTATAATATTAGTTAAATATTGCATACTGCTCAAACAGTTATGCAGTTCAAATGTCAATGCTACTTTGGTTGTCATTTATTTTCAGCTCTATGGAATGATGACTAATGACAAACACAGACCTTCTTTTGCAAATGTGCAGGGGCTAAAAGCTGAAGCAGATAAAATCAACAGGGATGTTTTAAAATCAGGAAAAAGTAGAGATGTGATTTTGTGTAGTGAATGCTTTAAACCAAGATGTGTGTATAGCAACACTAAAATGACAAGAGAGCAGGTATATTATCATTTATTTTTTAACATTTTATCTGATAAAAAGTAAAGGATTTATAATAGAAAATCAGCTTTTCTCATTTAAACACAATGATATGAGAAAGAATGAATATGGGTTAATGGCGCAAAATCACTATTTAATGTTACACACATAACAGACCTCCAAAAGTTTATAAAGCATCTAGAATGTTTAAGGTTCTTGACAGTACAGATAGGCCTAGACCCAGTGTAAATCCATTCTCTTTTTTCTCATTTTGATACACAGGAAAAATGCAAACCATCTTATAGAGATTTGCTTTACAGATTTTCATTTGTTTGATTAAATCTTATATTATTTAGCAAGATGTGACTATGAGTACTCATAAAACTGGTTTAACCCCACTTTATTTTATGCACTAGGCCCACTTCAGTATCATAAAAAAGAATGTCCATATGAAGAATTAAATATAATATTTTTCAATCCTTATATTTACACTAGTAAAACTTTCTTTATTAAAAATCTTATATATATATACATGTGTATTTTATGAACAGTGCATGTAGATTTTGAATTTAACTCTTGTGTTTCAGGATGGAATACTTCTTTGTATTAGAGAAGAGGATAACTACACATGTGGAGATGCCTTTCCTGTAGATAGCGGACTGTTTGTTCGTGAAAGTCTGTCATGTAACTCTGAAGTAGAAATCAATTATTATGGTGCTACTATGCGACATTTTGTTCCACCATGCTGCATTTACTGTGGAAAAACTGAAGATTTACTAGATGATGTGGATGACTATATACAAAACTTATATACTATGTTTTCAGTTGTTCGACCATTATGTAAAACCTGTAGAACTGCAGGAAAAGAAGCTAAAACATGGGGGAAAAAGCTTTTTGCAAAAAGGTCATAGACAATTCAAGTAACTTGATTTGAAGAGCAGTACATTTTTACTGTGAAATGTGTCAAAATCCTACTATCAAAATAAAACTATCTGATATTAAGAATTTATTCATTCCCAGAGTGCATCTTACAATTCACAGTGGCTGTATGTTTTGATGAGAACTCATATCCTTCTGTTTGTCTTTTAGCATCAAAGCAGAGCTCTTAATATAATAATAAGGAGATGTGGTTAATTGCCAATGAGACAACTATCCACCAATATTCAAAAGAAGTGGATGTAAGCAATTATAGGCAACCAAACAGTCTTCAACAATGAGAAAATCCCATGTTTTGTTTTGGTGGAATTTAATTAAACCTCAAACATCGTCAAAAAAGGCTGTTCACCAAAAAGTAACAAACTGAAAGTATCAATTGTCATGTGATTTGCATGCTTTTTACATTTGTGAAGGTCATTGGCATTGCCATTTCTAAGTCACATTTAAGAGTTTTTTTTCAAATATTTGCTGCTGCAAGGTGTAAGAGTTTACAGTTGTTTGCTTAAGAGTCAGAATAATGTATTCAAATGGGATAACAGGCCTTCACCTTTGAAAAGGAACCATGTTAGATAGCCAATTGAATATCTTGCATGTTCTAATGTAAACCAAGAAATATTTCATTCACTAATTATTTTGGTCCTGAACTTGCATGAATATTTATCAAATAATCTCATATATATATACTGAATACAATAAAAATTCATACAAAGGCTTGATTAAAGAAAATGAATAAACAAAAATAAACTATACGACAGTGGATCAAAAAAGACACTTATTTGCTGTGATGTAAGAGTATTTGCCTGGCATTGAAGACCTCATTGTAACTTTGAGATGAAGAACAGCAATAAAAGCCCTATTCCTTTGATTTTTGTGTCATAGATGTGTACCTTACATCCTTTCTTTTCAATGATTTGGTACAGGCAAATTTAATTAAACCTCAAACATCGTCAAAAAAGGCTGTTCACCAAAAAGTAACAAACTGAAAGTATTAATTGTCATGTGATTTGCATGCTCTTTACATTTGTGAAGGTCATTGGCATTGCCATTTCTAAGTCACATTTAAGAGTTTTTTTTTCAAATATTTGCTGCTGCAAGGTGTAAGAGTTTACAGTTGTTTGCTTAAGAGTCAGAATAATGTATTCAAATGGGATAACAGGCCTTCACCTTTGAAAAGGAACCATGTTAGATAGCCAATTGAATATCTTGCATGTTCTAATGTAAACCAAGAAATATTTCATTCACTAATTATTTTGGTCCTGAACTTGCATGAATATTTATCAAATAATCTCATATATATATACTGAATACAATAAAAATTCATACAAAGGCTTGATTAAAGAAAATGAATAAACAAAAATAAACTATACGACAGTGGATCAAAAAAGACACTTATTTGCTGTGATGTAAGAGTATTTGCCTGGCATTGAAGACCTCATTGTAACTTTGAGATGAAGAACAGCAATAAAAGCCATATTCCTTTGATTTTTGTGTCATGGATGTGTACCTTACATCCTTTCTTTTCAATGATTTGGTACAGGCAAATGAATTTTAAATGTACGCATCATAACATCAGTGCTTTTCCTTCATATTCATTTTGATAATCCTAGCATGTATCACTTTAAAAAAAAAAAAAGATATCGCTCGCTCCTCTTGCAGACCACTCGCCTGTCAAAAACTCATTTTCAAGAAATATATAAAAACAAAAAATTTCGCTCGCTCGCCCCATTTTTTTTTAGAGCAAATGTCCGAAGAACTATTTATCAAATTGGTGTGGCCTAATCAAGGGGAAATGTCTATTACTCAAAAACAAGGTATTATAACTTGCATACCAAAAGGTGACAAACCAAAGCAATACATGAAAAATTGGCGTCCGATCAGTCTTTTAAATACTATTTACAAATTAGCATCAAGTTGCATTGCAGAAAGGATGAAATCGGTTTTATCAATCTTAATTAATACAATCAGACAGGATAGATTTATTGGTGAAAATACCAGATTGATATATGATTTACTACACTACACCGAAGAAAATGATATCCCAGGCATTCTCCTCCTCATTGATTTTGAAAAAGCTTTTGATTCTATCTCCTGGATTTTCATAGAATAGGTTCTTGATTTTTTCAACTTTGGAAATTCCATAAAACACTGGGTTAAAACTTTTTTTACAAATACCAAATCAGCAGTAATACAGAATAATTTTCTTTCAGATTTTTTTTACAATTGAGAGAGGTTGCAGGCAAGGGGATCGTTTATCCCCTTAATCTTTTTGTAATGTGCTGAAATTTTAGGAATACTACTTAGAAAATACCAAAATATTAAAGGTATTACTATTGAAGACTCAGAATTTTTTATATCGCAATATGCTGATGACACCACACTTATTTTAGATAGTTCATCAGAATCCTTAGATGCATCTCTTTGTGTTTTAGAATTATATGCTGAATGGTCTGGTCTCAAGATGAATTTAGAGAAAACAAAGGTAGTTTGGATTGGGAAAAAGAAATATAGCCAAGATACAATGTGTGCAAAGTGGGGATTGGAGTGGGGTTCCAACAGATTTACGCTCCTGGGTATTAAATATTCGGTTGACTTACAAGAAATGGAAACACTAAATTACGAACCCAAACTTAAAGAGATAGAAAGAACAATGAAAAGTTGGTCAAACAAATATTTATCCTCAATTGGAAAAATTACTATAATTAAAAGTCTTATAATTTCAAAACTCAATCACTTATTTTTAACTTTACCAAATCTTAACAAAGGATTACTTAATCAATTTATTAAAAATTTATTTTATTTTATTTGGGATGGTAAACCAGACAAAATTAAAAGAGAAACAATTGATCAAATATATGAACTGGGTGGACTTAACATGTTTAATCTAAACCAATATATAAAAGGATTAAAACTAACTTGGATAAGAAGAATAAATAAACAGACTAATAATCATTGTAAGTTATTAACTTGTTCTGAAAAAATTAAATTAAATGAATTGCTCAATGTTGGTCCAAGAACACAAGTAAGAAATCCATTTTGGCAGGAGGTTTTTAATGCTTGGACTGGACTCCAAACTAAAGTAGCTGTTAAGAACGAATATGATTTTACCGTATCTAATCTTTGGATTAATAAACAAATTAAGATTGATAATCAAATCCCTCTGTATAAAAAATGGACTGAAAAGGGAGTCTGGCTAATAAATGATTTAATTGATAATGATGGGCATCTAATGAACTGGCCGGAATTTCAAAAAACATATAATATTGATACCAACTTTCTTATATTTCAAGGAGTAATCTCAGCAGTTAATTCCTATATAAAAAGTCTTAATATTAAATGTAATCAGCTTTTAAAGCTTTATGGGCCAATTATACCAACTACTATTGCTAGATTTCTGAAATCTACAAAAGGATCAAAAGACAATGTTTTAAACGAAAAAATAACAAATATCACATCACAGGAAAAGAGGTCGGTAATCCTAAATAGACAGAATATTATTTGGAATAAAGTATATAGACTGCCGTTTTTACATTACTAAAAATTCAAAATTACAGTGGCTCCAATACAGGATTAATCACAGAATTTTGGGAACAAATAAATTACTCTACAAAATTGAAGTCTCAAAAAACAATAAATGCACTTTCTGTACGGACTCGATAGAAACTATAGAACACATATTTTGGACATGTCCAAAAGTATTTGATGTTTAGGAAGAACTTAATAAATGGATATATTCAAAAGTCCAAATTGAACTAACACTAATTTAGATATAGTCTTATTTGGGATATTAGAAAAAACAGAAAAAAACTACATAAGAAACCTCATAATATTATTAACTAAATATTATATATACGAAACAAAAATGCAATGTGGACAAGTAAATATTGTAGCCTTAAAAAATTATCTTAAAGAAAATTTGTTTATTAAAAAAATAATATTTTATAAAAATAAACCATTGCAAAGAGCATACTCCTGCTGGAACCCCTGGCTCCAACTAACAGAATGACTATACAAGTAAACTTTTACGTAATACATATATCTACCCAATCCATGCTACCCAGGTTAGTTTTCTCTTTTTTTTTACCATTATTATTATTTTTAAGTTTGTCAAATGATTCAAAATATCAACTATATGTACTTGTCTCAATTTTGCTGATGTACTATGGACTTACTTACTATGATGATTTATATTCATTAGCTTTTGCCAATAAACACATTACAAAAAAAACAACAACTTGAGAATGAATATATCATTTCCATAAAGATTATTTGGCCTCACATCTTCAGTCGTGATGCATTGAAACTGATGGTTTTTTTACATTTAAAGATTAATCTATCAAAAGTTGGATATAGACAAGACATATGATATCTTTGTCAACCTGTTTTTTGAGATATTTTTTTTTTATAAATGGTATTTTTCTAACACAGAAAAAACACTGTAATTCCTACATCCACAAAAAGTTATTGCACATTTTTGTAGGGTTTCAATTGATTTATAAATTAATAGTTATCTAGACATGTTTTTGTTTATATTGTAGAATTCTACAGAAAGTAGTAGTAGTAGAAACAGGTCTGCAAGGAGTAATTTAACAAGAGTAACAACACAGGTATTACTTACTTTTGTTAGCTATTATTCGTATGTTTCTCTGTCCTATATGTTCTCCCATTTATTTGTATTGTAGTCCTGTCATGTAATGTTGTCATTTTAATGTTATATTTAACATTGCCATAAAAGCGGGAGGTTTGGCTAGTCACAAAACCAGGTTCAACCCACCATTTTTTTCTTAAAATGTCCTGTACCAAGTCAGGAAAATGGCCATTGTTATATTATAGTTCGTTTCTCTGTGTGTTACATTTTAATGTTGTGTTTCTGTTGTGTCGTAGTTCTCCTCTTATATTTAATGTGTTTCCCTCAGTTTTAGTTTGTAACCCGGATTTGTTTTTTCTCAATCGATTTATGAATTTCCAACAGCGGTATACTACTGTTGCCTTTATTTACAACCTGGTTCTTTAAAACATAGTAGGCTTATTGCATGTGAAGTGTTTATTGTGTTTGTTCTCTCTTGTACCTTGAAGGGAGATAATTGTACCTAATCTCTTTTTGTATAATTCATTTACATGACCATGTAAGTGAAACTCCTAAACTAATTAAAGGATCCTAATGAAACGTGGACTTTCTGTACTAACGGGACTGGTCACTTATAACGATGTCTATACAAATTTTCAGACTGAACTGTGCCGTCGCTGATGTCACATGACTTTATAGCAAATCATTTCATATTTATGAAGTGTTCTTCATAACTATATGTTCAAGTTTAATGAAGTAACATTTTAATGAAATTTAATACATTTTGTCATTGCAAAATACTGCTTTTGAAAAGATTCCTCCTATAGTTTTTTAAATATAGATCTTTAAACTTTGAGGCATTGGTTAGTAAATTTCGAGTGGGTGCCATCTTGCTTGCTCCTTTTGCATGACTGGAGTGTTTTTTAAAACTCTATGTCTCAGTTTAATAATTTAACATTCTTTTAAAATCTTATATTTTTTGCCATGGTAAATGGATATTAATAAGATTTTATATTAACACATATTAAATTGAAATATACTTTGAAATACGCAAATAATTTCTAGCTTCGTATATCAGAGATACGAAACTAAGTTTATTGTTGGGGTGTAGCTTTACACGAACGGCTTGGTAATTAGATAAAATCAATAGATATGAGTCCCGTTAGTATAGAAAGTCCCTGATTAGATGTGATGAAGGATAATCCTATCTAGATGTGCATGAAGAAGAAAAGTAAAAGGGAGATATTGATACACTTTGTTCCCCATGATATGATCTTCTAATTTTAAGGCCAAATTAGTTTTGACCCCAATTTCGCAATCCACTAAACATAGAAAATGATAGTGCGATTAGGGCATCTGTGTACTATGGACACATTCTTGTTGAGTTCGTTTTAATTATAATGATGTTTTGCTAACAGAAAAACATTGTTGATTGAACATCCACAAAAAGTTAAAGAAATATTTTCGTAGGGTTTCAATTGACTGATTATTCACCAGTTATAGACATGTTTTTTTTCTCTGTAGAATTCTACAGAAAGTAGGAGAAACAGTCCTGCTAGACAAAGTGATTTGGCTGAAGTTATAACACAGGTATTTTTCACATCCTCAGGATTAGAAATGTAGTATGTTAATATCATGTGAAGTATTAGTTGTATTAAATATTTTTTGGCACTTTTGTATCTGTTCAAAGCTTAATTTTGTATCCCAACTCCTTAGCCATTGAAAAAAAATATGTATCTCCGATGAAGTTTATGGGGGTAGTTATATATCGAAATCACCATGTCTGTCATAGTTATACAATTCATCAATATAACATCATATGTGCAACTCATCCTTAACTGCTGCTCAGATTTTAATAAAAAAAAAAACTGCCCTTTAGAAAGTACAGCATATGAAGAGAAATTAGAATTTATTGCATGAAGAGAAATTATTCCTCTCTAGTACCTTCAAAGGGTAATTTTACTAGCACTTTTTTAGTACAATTTATTAACCACTTGTCAATAAATGAAGTGTGAAAAACAGTAGATCAATATTCACCAGCAAAACTACAAGGACAAACATTGTTGATCCAACATTAGTAAAAAGTTATTAAAATTTCTTTGTAGGGTTTCAATTGACTGATTTTTGAACAGTTACAGACATGTTGTTTGTTATTGTAGAATTCTACAGAAAATAGGAGAAACAGTCCTTCTGGTCAAAGTAATTTGGTTGGAGTAACACAGGTATGTTGAAACCCATGCATTTTCAAATGAAGTAGGATTGTTGCTGGTGTATTGTTTGTTGTGTTTGTAATACTGAAACTCCTCCTTGATCATTGAATAATTTAATTTTGGATGTAACGCGTCTTCCAATTGGCTGACGTTGTTTTGTTTATCAGCTCATAGACATAATTTTGTCATGTGACCTTGACGTCATCAACGTTTTTTCATGATTTACTCTGGTTTAAAATGGAATTAAGAATTAAATTAAAAGAAATGACTAATATTTTGTCTGTCTATTCGAAATAACATAAAAAATGTGGTGCACACTTTAAAATAACCCGCTACGCAGGTTATTCAGTGTGCACCTCATTTTTGATGTTATTTCTTCATAGACAGAAAAAATATTACAGTCATTCCTTAAATAAAATTTTATGAAGCTAAGAGAAATTGACATTTTGTCTCATTCAACCATGCTTATATGCAAGTTTATTTTTGTTTAATTCAAGGGTAATTTTTTCAATGGCTTCTTTATCAATTCAGGACATTTTCTTTTTATATAAGTGACTTGCAAAATATTTCAACAAAACAATGTTATATTTGGATTTTTTTATCCTGACTGACCTGTATTTTATATTCAGTTATTTTTATTTTGAGGACTCAATATTGCATTTTGACTGTGGCAATTCTCCACTAAAAAAGTTCTCATGTCTTATCAGCAAAACTTCCTAATAATGTGAATCCATGAAAATAGGGGATATTTTTCCTACATGCATTGTCATTATGCATGAGCTCCAATAGGTATTGAAATACTTATACAAATATTTTTTTACCATAAATAGAGTATTGTCCATATTTGGTTTGAGGAGGAAGTAAGAAGAGGACATACGTATCAAGAGCTTGGTACACCAACAGTCCAAATTAGAAGAGAAGTTGCTGAAACAGCCAGAAGATCTATTTTGGACTTATCAACAGAGTAAGCAATTCATTGTATTTGCATATATAGTAATTTGTTGTTGATTTCATTTTTAAATCCTGATAGTTACGCAACTGGGGTTTCAAGATTCACTAATTTACATATATTAATGGACTTTTATGACTTCACTTGTTCTAGACCAATTATATAGCAGGGTTATATATAATACCAAATTAATGTCTCTTTCATTTTACCCATACCACTCTTTAAACACAGAAATGATAATTCTTGCCTTGAGTTGCTGTCTCATATGCATTATTTTAAAACCCAAACCTCAATTTCTAAAAGACACATGTCTGCAGTTTGTAATAAACTATGTGTGATGAGAAGTATACTAATATATACAAAGACTAAGTACTAAACTATTATTTATTCAAGAATATAAAACATGTAAACTAATTTACAATATGGCAACTGGGGACTTATACAACTGCATAGTAAAAACCAATAATGTTCTATCTCCATATGCAAAGGGAGATAACTCTAGCTAAATCTTGAAACTTGGAATTCAGATACATTTTTTTATAGATTGACTAAAAAATTTGTATCGAAATAGCCATTCATAAAATAAAGAAAAAAGTAAGATTTTAACCAACAAATATAATAGGTTAATAAGTACATTTTGTACCAACAATAGCAAAGTCTAAACCATACATAGAATAGTATAAAAATAATAAGATGCTTAGACCATACGTCAGTATGGTATCAAAATGAGATGCTTAAACCATACGTCAGTATGGTATCAAAATGAGGTGCTTAAACCATACGTCAGTTTGGTATCAAAATGAGGTGCTTAGACCATACGTCAGTATGGTATCAAAATGAGATGCTTAAACCATACGTCAGTTTATTATCAAAATGAGGTGCTTAAACCATACGTCAGTATGGTATCAAAATGAGATGCTTAGACCATACGTCAGTTTGGTATCAAAATGAGATGCTTAAACCATACGTCAGTATGGTATCAAAATGAGATGCTTAGACCAAACGTCAGTATGGTATCAAAATGAGGTGCTTAAACCATACGTCAGTATGGTATCAAAATGAGGTGCTTAGACCATACGTCAGTATGGTATCAAAATGAGGTGCTTAGACCATACATAAGTATGGTATCAAAATGAGGTGCTTAGACCATACGTCAGCATGGTGTCAAAGAGGTAATTTAAACCATGTCATTATGGTTTCAAAATAAGAAATTTAGACCATACGTCAGTATGGTGTCAAAAGATGTGTTTAGACCATATGTCAGTATGGTGTCAAAGAAAGGAACTCAGGCCATACGTCAGTATGGTATCAAAAATAAGTTACTGGTATCAAGAGGTAAATTTAACCATACGTCAGTATGGTGTCAAAATGAGGTAACAAGACCATACTTCTGTATGGTGTCAAAAAGAGATACTTAGGACCATATGTCAGTATGGTGTCAAAATTAAATACTTAGACCATACGTCAGTATGGTGTTAAAATGAGGTACTTAGACCATACATCAGTATAGTATCAACAATTAGTTCAATGGTTAATATTTTTTATGTCATTACAGTACAAAGAAAATAAAAAATTCTTAATCAAATAAAATAATGACAAGCAATTGTAAAAATTCTAACAATAAACAGCAAGTATATAATATAAACATCAAACTATGTAACAACATATACAAAATTTAAAAACAAAATAAAATCAATGAAAGTCCCCATGGCACTGACAGCAAGGAGAGCGACGGGGAGGTGGTAGCAAAGAGCTGACCAAAACAATAGAAGTTCATGTTTTACTTGCAGACACATATCATACACAAACATCGTGTGAAGTAATGACGTAGCAAAATTAGATTAAAATTGAATGTGCACTGTGACGTCATAGACCGTGTGTAAAGATAATTAACTGCCCAATAGAGTGAGATGACAAGTTCTTAATAAACTCCAATTATGATAAATATAAATTTAATTTTATGACTTCACTTGTTCTAGACCAATTATATAGCAGGGTTATATCTAATACCAAATTAATTTCTCTGTCATTTTACCCATACCACTCATTAAACACAGAAATGATAATTCTTGCCTTGAGTTGCTGTCTCATATGCATAAACCCAAACCTCAATTTCTAAAAGACACATGTCTGCAGTTTGTAATAAACTAAGTGTGATGAGAAGTATACTTATATATACAAAGACTAAGTACTACCGGTAAACTATTATTTATTCAAGAATATAAAACATGTAAATTAATTTACAATATGGCAACTGGGGACTTATACAACTGCATAGTAAAAACCAATAATGTATAATGTTCTATCTCCATATGCAAAGGGAGATAACTCTAGCTAAATCTTGAAACTTGGAATTAAAATAATTTTTTTATAGATTGACTAAAAAATTTGTATGGAAATAGCCAAATACAGATGCTTGCAGCTGTAGCCCCAAGTTGAATAATGAGAAAAATAAAAATCAATCCACTCCTTGCTGTCAGTACAAATTTTAATTGTTCAAAGTAGAAGTCATTTGAATTTGAGCTTGTCTAAGTATATCTGGAGAGGTATGAATATATTTGGTATAACAATCTGAGGACCATTGTCCCAAAGTTTGAATAAGATGATCTTCCAGTCGTGCTTTGTGTGCAGTAGTTGCAGCACCACTTCTGAATGAATGGCCGTTATACTTTTCACTAGATAATCCTAATTTGTCTAATTTAGATATAACTGTATTGTATTTGAAGCTTTGCGGACATCCATCGGTAGTTTTACTGTCACAAATTTAGTTTACCTGGCGATGCGTAGCGGAGACAGGTAATCGGGTATTTGCAACAGTAAAACTACCGATGGACGTCCGCAAAGCTTCAAATACAATACAGTTATCTCTATTCCAATGCAAAATAAACAAATCATTCAATTTTAGTCATTATTTCAGTGTAAATTTTTCATTAAACGAAAATTCCACGAAATGATGTTATCTTATTTGCCGCCTAAACTAGTTGACATCATATGTGTGCTTCCAGCATCAAACGTAAACACCGGGCGTTTTCTGGCTTCTTGTCCGCTTCAAAATGTAATAAAATTTGATGAAAAGAAGATTTGTAGGTCCAAATGTGAGTTTTTTTGCTTATTATTGGAGAAATTACATGTCAATATATTCAAAATGTCAGCTTCCTTAGTTACAGACAGGGAGATAGAGAATTTTACGCTTGTCGACTTCCAATCAGAGCCATTGATACAAAATAATTGCATTAGAATGTACATTTTACATGAGAAATGAAAAAATTTCTTGACAATGGATCACCTTTATTAGTAATAAAAAAGTACTCAGAATTGCTAAAAATACTCATTCTGAGTCTATAGTATTTCTGAAGTAAAACTACAGGACATATATCTGAAGAGTTTTTAAACAAAGGAATAGTAATACCATACCTAAAAGGATCAGTCTTAGATTTCTTTAGGTGCACAAAAATACAGTCATTTGATATTTGAACATCACTAAGACACAAATTTGATTCAGGATCAAATTTTTTGGTATCATGAACAGAAAATTCACCACATCGTAAAAACCCGAAAAAAGCTGTTACACATGCAGCTTCTATTAAAACATCTGTAAAACTATCAAAAATACAATTGCGTAGTAAAAAACACATTCTGTGTAAAATATCAAAAGTTATAGGTAAATGAATTCTCTTAGGCATAATGGCATGCTTCTTTTTTAAACCAAAACTGATTTTAATTTTGTAATGGTTTACCGACAAAGTTCTCTAATGGATTAACGCCCCCTTTTAGTAAGTAAAAGAAACGTATGCCACATAGGTAGGATTTAATGGTGGAATATCTCAGATGCTTATGAGTTTCGCAAAAGGCTATAAAACGCATCAACAAGTTTTCAGAAACAGGTGGTAACTGGAAAGTTGACCAAGTTGATCCTTGTAGTTGTAAGAACTTAAGATAATGTTCATATCTTTGGTACATAAAGCTTTGGTTGAATCTGCAACAGCGAAATTTTGTAAATTTTCTACTGCGATGTCCAAATAATCTCTTCCAGGGTTGGACAAGGAGTTGCTGCTTTCTCTGCCTCTGGTGCTAACTGATGAAATTTGTTCTTCTGTAAACGAGATAAAGAGTCAGCAATTAAGTTCATTTTTCCCGGCACATGTTTGCTGTTAAAAGGAAAGTTAAATTTTGCTGCACACATAACAAGATGTCTCATCAGTTTCATGATTATAGGATCTTTTGAACGACCTTTAGTCAGAATAATAACAGTCACTAGATTGTCGCAGTGAAATTAATACGCTTTTTAGACCATTCTTTTCCCCATAAAACAGCTGACACAACGATAGGATATAACTCCAAAAAAGCAATAGATAGAGTTTTATCTGAAATAGTTGGAAGGTCTTTTGGCCAAGTGTCACAAAACCATTTCCCTTGATAAAAACCTCCAAAACCAATGGTAGATGAAGCATCCGTAAATAAATGCATGTCCGCTGCAGAGGTTAAATGAGATTCATAGAACATGCTCATTCCATTCCACGTTGACAAAAATTGTAGCCACATTGTCAAATCGGATTTACACTCTTTATTTAAATGAACATAGTGGCGACTCTCTTTGACAGAAGACATCAGTCTATAAAGGTAAGTAACGAATGCCCTACCTGGCAAAATTACTCTTGTAGCAAAGTTAAGATGTCCAAGTAATTGTTCGAGTTCTCTACGTGTGCAAGATTTTTTATCTAAAACAAAACTTATGAATTGTGTGATTCTGTTTACTTTGTCTAAAGGAAGTCTAACCTGCATATTAATCGTGTCCAAAATAATGCCTAGGTATTCGAGTTCACAAACTGGTCCAACGGTCTTCTTACATGACAAAGGAATATTAAGTTTGTTAAAAATTAGGCTTAACAAAGCCATTTTTCTTTCTCCACAATCATCAGGTTTGTCTACAGTTAAAAAGTCATCTAATAGATGGAAAATAACTTTAATATCATAATTATTCTGAGCTATCCAGCACACACTAGTAGATAAAGAGTCAAACAGACGGGGACTAGAACGACACCCAAAAGGTAAACAAACATAATGATAGTACTGACCGTTCCACTTAACACAAAATGGATGCCACTGGTTTTTTTTAATCGGAAGTTGTTTGAACGCATCTGAGATGTCCACCTTACAGCATAGGGACTTTGACCCATATCTTTGAATCACATTAATAGCATCATCAATTTTAATGTATGTCAAGGAACATAGGTCTTTATCTGAGAATTGAATGTGCACTGTGACGTCATAGACCGTGTGCAAAGATAATTAACTGCCCAATAGAGTGAGATGACAAGTTCTTAATAAACTCCATTTATAATAAATATAATTTTAATTTATTGTTTTTGAATGGTCATCTGTTAAATATTTTAGATATACAACCACCCACATAAAATTCCTTCCCTAGGGGTTGTAAGGGGCATAGTATTTCTGGAAATTTTAAGTGTTAAAAAAACAAGAATTTTCTGGGTGTTGTACACTAACTAATTAATTCTTTGAATAATTTTGATAACACTTTGATAAATTATTTTTTATGAATAAATGTGAGCTTCCTTAATTTTTTTTGTTAACTTTAGTATATAAAACTTCTCCTTATCCACTAAATGAAATTCAATTGATAGGTCTTAATGCATATATACTTGTCAGTATAAAAAATGTTTAAGCGGCAACACCCATTTCAATATCTTTTTTTCATTTCAGGAATGTTGTTAATCTGGATGAAACCTTACAAGATGATGTATCTGCTGTTGCTGATTTCATTCCAGCTGTTCCAGCTTCTGTAGTAACAAGGTATTATTAAAGCCTTTTAAGTTTCTTACAAATTGTCTAGTCAGATTATGACCAAATGAGTAAATTATAGCTTTGCAAAAATCACTTTGATTGAGTGTTTTCACTGGATTTCACCTATTCTGCAAGAACTGTATGTTTTTCATCTTTCAAGAAATCTGATCATTAATACAATTTTTACTTTTTCTTTTTTTAGTTCTTTGCCATCAGTAACTGAAATATGTGATGCCATTAAAGAACATAAAAAGAACTTTATTAGTGGTGATGAGGAAAATCCTCTTCTGATGGAGGTAAAAAGGGAAGATGTTCTCAAAGATGCTTTGGGAATTATAAGATTCTTCCAACAGGATCTGCACAATCCCTTGAGAATTTCTTTGTTGGAGAACTTGGAGTAGATTTAGGCGGCCTTCGAGTCTGTTTCTGTACAAACTCTCTAATTCTATGTTCATGAAAGGTACTTATCATATTTGTCAGTCATATTAATTTTAAGAAAATGGGATAAATAAAACATCTTCAGGACTCACACTACTTCAGAATCGTAAGGAGAAGTGACTTCTCTTTTTGAAACTGATAGGGAGATATGGTGAGATTTGAAAGAGATGTGCTTGTTCTTCACAGCGCTACAATGTTTGATTTTTATACGACCGCAAAAAAATTTATGGTCGTATATTGGTATGATGTTGGCTCCGTCATCGTCGTCGTCATCCGAAGACACACTAGTTTTCGCACTCTAACTTTAGTTTAAGTGAATGGATCTCTATGAAATTTTACCATATGGTTCAATACCACAAAAAGAAGGTTGGGATTGATTTTGGGGGTTATGGTACCAACAGTTAAGGAATTAGGGGCCAAAAGTAAGCATTTTTGTAACTTCCAGACATAACTTGTCTGTTAGTGTATGGATCTCTCTGACATTGTACCACAAGGTTCCAAATCACAAAGGGAATGCTGGGATTGATTTTGGGGGTAATTGCCTCAAAATTTTAGGAATTAGGGGCCAAAAAAGGGGCAAAAACAAGTATTTTTCTAGTTTCATGATAATACCTTGTGTGTAAGTGTATGGATCTTTCTGAAATTGTACTACAAGGTTCCATATCACAAAGGGAAAGCTGGAATTGAGTTTGGGGGTAATTGTCCAAAACGTTTAGGAATAAGGGGCCAAAAAGTGGCCAAAAATAAGCATTTTTCTAGTTTCCAGACAATAACTTGTGTTCAAGTGTATGGATCTCTCTGAAATTGTACTGCAAGGTACCATACCACAAAGGGAAGGCTGGGATTGATTTTGGGGGTAATTGCCTCAAAATATTAGGAATTAGGGGCCAAAAAGGGGCAAAAAACAAGCATTTTTCGAGTTTCAGGACAATAACTTGTGTGTAAGTGTATGAATCTTTATGAAATTGTACTACAAGGTTCCATATCACAAAGGGAAAGCTGGGTTTGAGTTTGGGGGTAATTGCCCTAAACGTTTAGGAATTTGGGGCCAAAAAGGGGCCTAAAAACAAGCATTTTTCTAGAATCCAGACAATAACTTGTGTTCAAGTGTATGGATCTCTCTGAAATTGTACTGCAAGGTACCATACCACTAAGGGAAGGCTGGGATTGAGTTTGGGGATGATGAATCATAAGGGGGTTCCAAAAATTTGGGGGAGGGATTTTTTTTTTCTTTAAAATTTTTCATTTTAAATTGGTTATTTCTGATTTATATATAAAAGCAAATAATAATGATATGGTTTGAAAAGGTAAATTAAAATTTTTTAAGTTCTTAGACCACATTCATTCTGTGTCAGAAACCTATGCTGTGTCAAATATTTAATCACAATCCAAATTCAGTGCTGTATCAAGCTTGAATGTTGTGTCCATACTTGCCCCAACTGTTCAGGGTTCGACCTCTGAGGTTGTATCAAGCTGCGCCCGGCGGAGCATTTTATTTTTCAAACGTACAACAAAAAATTAAAGTTGGCATTATTCCAAACATTTTATCGACCAGACTCAGCAATATTAGTTGAAGTCTTATTAGATTGATTAATTTATTTTTGGGAAGTAACACCATATTTGGACCATTTATTTAAATACATTGTATATATACATGTTGATATCCAGTCAAATTAAAAAGTAGAAACTGAACCTTCAGACTTGTTTGAATCGACTGCTAAAAAAATTGTCCTTAGAACCTATACAACAAAAACAAATGATACAAATGCTGCTTCAGATCCTGTTATTTTTATATTTTAAGAGTTTAATAACATAAAAAATTAAACTTATCTCTTTAAAACTCATATATTGGTCAATTGAAATACCTTTGTAATGAGTCGTCACAACAGAGATGATGTGTTTGAATAACAAACAAAAAGTACTACAGTTAAGACATTAAGTACACTTCTTACCCCTACATTTATATTGTTACATTTTCAAAGTCAACTTTAGGCAGATTAATTATCTTATTCATGAAAATGTACTAGAAAAAAAAGTTAGCCATACCTGTTCACCGACACCCCCTATTAATTCTGCCAAAACCCACAGACTTCACTTTTGGATCTTCAATTTTTTATGCCCCCGCCGTAGCAGAGGGGGCATTAAGTTTTACCCTTGTCTGTCCGTACGTACGTCCCAAAGTTGGTTTCCGTTCTCTAACTTTAGTTTGCCTCAACCAAATGTTTTGAAATTATACACAATGCTTATTACCACAAAATACAGATCAAGTTTGAATTTTGGTGGTGTCACTTTTACTGTTCTAGAGTTATGCCCCTATACAAATGGAAAAATTGATGAATTTTTTCGTTTCAGTTCTCTAAATTAAGTTAGCCTCAACCAAATGTTATGAAACTTATACACAATAATTATGACACCAAAACTCAGATCAAGTACAAATTTGGGTAGCATCACTTTTACAGTTCGTCAGTTATGTCCCTTTATAACTTTATATGATATACAAGCGGGTCATCATCTGTGTCCCATGGACACATTCCCCATTTATTTTGTTTTAAATCCACCTTCTGAAATTTCTACTCTGCCCTTTCATGAAGTATTTTTGATAAAAAAAATTTAATGTTTACCAAACTTTCTAAAATTTGCCCAGTTGTGCAATAATTTTAAGTTATTTAAAGGCTTAATATTTATTAAATTATGCTTATTAGGTAGATGAAACATTTATCTTCCAAGTAGGTATTGCAATGATGCAATGTGAATAAAGTTTTCAAGTGCTGAATGACAATTTGTAATCTCTTTAATGTGTACCCTTTTCATGATTGAAAAAATTAATACTAATTATGGGGATACAATTTTGACGAGGTATTAATCTACCTGTTTACATGTATTGTAAGGCAGATATAAAAAGCTTTTGAGAAATCCATCATCGACAAACTGATTTTAACAAATACTTCATGCCAATCATCTAACAGTCTGTGCAGTATGGTCAACATATAAAAACCTTGATTTCAAAACATTGAAACATTTTGTCAAAGTAATCTGACAATTATAATTTGAAAATCTTTTTCTAAAATTTTAGAAAAATTGATATCACACTGACTGGTCTTTTTTTATCCAGCCATGCAGGTTCTATGTGATAACTCAGGATTCTATTAAAGGTTAAATTAAAAGGTGCAGAATTTTGAATTAAAGACATTTCATGAAATTAATGATGTGTTTTATGACTTCTAGAAAGTTTTAACACCTTTTTAATCATCTACTGCCAACTTTTAACATGTTAGTTGCCCTTAAATTAAGAAAAGAGCAGTCAAACTGCTACCAAATTTTAGATATATATATATATATACAATTGCATATAGTTCCTTTGTAAATTAAAAGTTATAAAATATTACTATTTATGAATTAATCTAAAAAATCTTGTGTAAGTATTTGATTAAAATTTGGTAAAAAAATGAATTGACACTTTATGAATTTAATGCATTGCAAGCGTTTTTCTAGATTTTCCTTCATCAAGAATGCTCAAAATCAAATATTAGAAAACCAATGATGTATAAGAACCAAAACATGTGAAGAGCAATATGACCAAAAGGGACCTAAAAATAATTGCCAAATCCATTTAAGGTTAACTTTGCCTGAGGGATTGAAACCTAAGTTTCTTTTAAATAATTTTTGAATTTATAAATGAGCAATTTCAGAAAGGTATGTTAAAAATCATGGCAGTAGGGAAGCATTGACTACTGAGCTGATGATACAACCTATGTATTGATATCAAAGTGGATTCCCATTGTCCCAATTCTTTCCTATGTAAAGTAAGAGTACTGATACAATACCAGTATGATTGACATCTGTTATGATTTACAAACAATTATACTGAAAGGTGTAAGTAATATAAGGCTTGGTTTAAAATTAAGAAGACAATTTATTTAGATAATCCCTGCACTTTACTTGAAAAATTACACTATGCTGTGTCAAATAGTTACTCAGAATCCAAATTCAGAGCTGTATCAAGCTTGAATGTTGTTTCCATACTTGCCTCAACTGCTCACTCCGTCCCTCTGTCTGTCTGTCCATCCGTCAGTCCGGCAAATCGGTTTTCCACACTTTTTTTAAAGATATTGATTTGATATTTGGTGTATTGTTTTATCATGGCAAGTTACAGATCAAGTTCGAATTTTGTTCTGGTCTCATGATTTTGTGCAGAGTTATGGTCCTTGGACTTAGAAAATTCACTCAAATAATCAGTTTTCCACACTTTTTTTCTTCATGCTTGAAGATATTGACTGAATAATTGGTATTATCATGACAAGTTACAGATCAAGTTCAAATTTTGTTCCGGTCTGATGATTTTGGGCAGAGTTATGGCCCTTGGACTTAGAAAATTCACTCAAATAATCAGTTTTCCTCACTTTTTTTCGTCATGCTTGAAGATATTATATGGATAGTTGGTATATAGTTTTATCATGACAAGATACAGATCACATTCAAATTTTGTTCTGGTCTGATGATTTTGTGCAGAGTTATGGTCCTTAGCTATAGACTTAGAAAATTCACTTAAATAATCAGTTTTCCACACTTTTTTTCCTCATGCTTGAAGATATTGACTTGATATTTGTTATAAAGTTTACACTATGACAAGTTATGGATCAAGTTAGCATTTTGTTCCAGTACAATGAATTTTAAACCAGTAGGGGACTATGTATTGCCATGCAATACTCTCAGAATGCTTGTTGTCTATACTTTATAATCATGCCTTAACAATTTATTGTAAATGTGTTTGTGCTATTAAATATTGCCTACTGTCTAAATTGTCTCTTCAGCTCAATAAGCAATTCTTGACCTCAGAAGTATACCTGCAATTACTTTTGATCTACACTAAATAAAAGTATTCTGTAAATTATGTGTCAAAGATGAATAATTAAGGTGGTATGGGAGTATAATTAAAAAATGATAGAATTTTTTCATACTTTGTCAAAATGTATCTTTTATTGTGCTATATGTTCCAAAAAATAATATAAGTGATAGGTCACCAAGCTTGTTTTCAAGCTACAGGTGGTGATCAAATGACACATTTTGTTCAGATTATACAGAGAAAAATCATCATAATGTGAATAGAACGAAAACTAAATGATAGAATATTGAAATAAAATTTGAGAAGATAGCTCTCAATGAAAATGATTTCAGAATATTAAAAGAAAAATGGGCTCACTTTTTTTTTTTTTTTCCTGCTATAAAATAGAATAGAAAAGTTTCCTGTAAATTCCTTTATAAATTTTACTATTTCTGAGTTACCTCCCATTAATACGCAAGTTAAAAAATCGAAATCAAGCAAAAATTTACTTTTGTAAAATTGTTATTAAATATATCTTAAAATTACATAAATTTGTTCATTTAAATGAAAATTCTTATTATCATATTGCACTCCTGCATTGAAATTTGCTCTCTTAATTAAAAATCAAGACCTATAGTGTTCTGCTATTTTACAATCCAAGAAAGATGGCGGAAGACACCCATACCATCTTAAGGTTGCACTTTGTAATTACTGCTGATTCACAAACACTTCTTTTGGGGAGATATTTAAGTGCCAATCTTTTGTTTCCTTGTCCTGTTCTGGTAATTCAAGATATAATTTGGTTGAAATGCACTAGAAATTAAAAACTAAGGGGAGCTAACTCCGTAATTTGCAATCATTCTAACCAAAATTTATCTAGAGATTTCTCGAATTACCAGACACACAGAAAAGAAAGACCTACCATTTCTAACTCAGGATGAGGGTACCTTCAAAATAGGATGGTTTGGTTGGTGGGTTTTTTTCTGCCATGTTTTGATTTTTTTCAAACTTGCCTGATTCTTACAAAGGCTGGCACTTAATATTCATAGATATTTTGTTTTGTTTACCTACTGGTTCCCATTTATGATCTCCATGTTTCATCTCATAGAGACACAACTTGGGAATTTTACCAGTATGAATACTGTTGGATAGCAGACAAATTAAATATTCAGGATGACATAAAGTAAAGGAGTACGTCTAAACACCGCTCAGGACCTCCTGAGTGCACTCAGGACATACAATGTGCACTCAGGACCCTTTATAGTCATAGTATTTGCACACAGGATGGATGAATATATTCGTTACACGCTGCTTATTTAAGAGTTAAATTTTGGTAGAATTTGAAATCGAACTTAGATAGATATGTTAATTCTTATGAAATAATGAGGGCACGTGTCACTGATTACAAAACTACTGAGCCGTGAATTATCCAATCAACGAATTGATTGGATTATTTTTATTGTTGTTTATGAATTGTGTTGTTAGTACTGTGTTACATTTAAAATGAATAACACGATGTTATTAAGTTTAGTGAAAGTTGCAGTGTAGAGAATGAAAAACATTTTCTTATGGAATGCACACTTTATGACGATATTCGATATAACCTTTTTCATGAATGTTCAAAATTTATTCAAGATTTTCACAGCCTTGATATAGATAACAAATTTATTGAAATTATGAACTGGTCCTATATTTTCAATGACAATATTTAGAATTTAACCTTAATAAGACAGATCAGTATTTATTTATATGATTTGCTAAGTCTAATATCTTGGCTGCGTACGTGCTGTCCTTGGTATTTTCCTTTGGTTTGGCTTACGAGCAAGTTTCTGGGGTTTTGGCACTTCAAACTCTGTGCAAGAAGACTTAGTCGTGGTTTGAACGGATTTCATTTACTTACAAATTCTTTAGAAATAATATCCAAATATGATAATTTTCAGAAAACGGAGACAAATTAATTTTTCAGAATTTATTTTCACATTGGAATTCGTTCAAGGCTTGTATTACAGCTAGACAAGAACAACTTTATTGAGAAAGATAAATCTTACTAAATGCTGATTTGTTAAAACATTCGTATTACTCAAGAATGAAATTACTGGACAAGAACTATAAAAATGAGAAATAACACTAACTATATGAGATTTGATTATTTGAAAAGCGTATTTTGGTAAGTACGGCTTCTACAGTTAAGAACGGGTTCCATTTACAAAACTAAATCTTAATTCATGGAAAGTATGACAAATTTATTTCCCTTTTCAAACTCGTTCAAGGAACTTATTACTGGACAAGAACGAGTTTCAATAGGGGAATAAATCTAACTAAATGAAATTTTTATTGAATCGTTATGTTATACATTCACAGCCTCTCATTGGTCAAAAAGTGTTAATTATTTGAATGAATCTCAAAGACAAGAAAATAGAACAAAACACACACACACAATTATATAATTTGAAATAAGAATTAGAACGCAATGATACCAATATTTTTTTTTTAATTGAACGCTATTTTTAGTGAGCGATCAGATTAACTGTTAGCTTGAAAGTAAATTATAAATGGTGTTTCACCAATTCTTTTTTTTTTACTATGGAACAACGCAATTAAAGTCTATTGTAATATATCTAGAGAAAGAAATATTCTTCTTAATTTTTGAACTTAGAATAAAACTAAACTTTTTATTGCACGAAATTTTACTAAAATACGAAAATCTATACAATGAAAATAATGACGATATTTTTTTTATCTATTAAGTTAATGAAATGAATTGAATGAAAATTTCCCAACTATATATGTAGATTTCTCATATTTCTCGAATGGCTTCAATTATTACAAACAAAAAGAAAAATGTTTATTTAACGGTCTTATATCTTCATTGTTCTTTATTTTTCAAAAGACATCTTGATTTTGTTTGTTTGCCAAGCTTACTTGTATGAGGTTAGTACCATCACTTATCACTTCTAATTATTAAAGATCAAACAACCTAATCAACATGATAATTGGTATTCAATATAATCCTCGGTCATGCCTGACATATTTCACAAAAACGGCGTGTGCCGATGAAAACTTCTATAACTCCTTAAATGTTAAAATGATTTTATCAAAACAAAAATTATTAGATGAAGAATTAAATTATCTATCGAATGCATACCTTCACCACTCACTAAAACATATATTTCATGTCCTGAGTGCACTTTGTATGTCCTGAGTGCACTCAGGAGGTCCTGAGCGGTGTTTAGACGTACCAAAAGTAAAGGGAGGGGTAGTACAGAATTTTAGTATTTGTTAAAACTTTTAGTTGTTCAAGGCTTATAAATGTTGAAAATATGCTGCACAAACCCTATGATTTGACCTTTGCATAAACTAGTGCATATGATCTTTCCATTCAAGGATATCATTTTTACGAAACTTTATAGTAAAAGTGGCCAACCTTTAGCCGTAAAAGGAGTTACATGGGAAATTGCATTGTATATATTTACAAAAGTGCAACCTATAGGAAAAGTAGTTGTCTTTTTTCAATCTCAATGACAAAAAATAGAATCACAATACGGAAATGCAAGCAGGGTCTGTTTTACTTGTAAACTCAGTGTCATAATCTTCTGATTTAGTTAAATTTAGTTACAATTATCAGTAACTTGCTTTAAACAATCAACAAAATGATTAAATTGCAAAACAAGACTGAGCACTTCCTGCAATAAATTTATTTGTTTATACCCCTTATATTGCTATTTAGCAGTATAAGATATTTGTACAATGTATATATGAAGGTTGTTTTACCAATATGCCTGAGAATATGATTTGAAATTATGCTCACAACTCTTCCAATATTTTCATTAATGATTTCAAACCTGGGTGTCTATTGTCAAGTACCTCAGGAGACGAAACTTTTTCTGAAAATTTCGTGAGCTGGAAGAGGCAATTTTTTAGTGAAATAATAATGAAAACGAGGTTCAACTTTTTGATCCTTATATAGTATCTTTTTATTAGACTAATGTTTTAAATTGTCCCTTGGTATCTGCTCTCTATATATTGTAGTAATAATAAGAAACTGTTTATGGGCCAAATCCTTTATTTCAAGATTTAATGGCCGTCTTGAAATGTTTAGAGAAGTTGGTATAAAGAAAAAACATTGAAAAATGAGATCAGAGAAATGTCTGACAAGCTTAAAAATTTGCTTGATCACAGCACAGATGATGATTTAATTGTTGGGACACTTTTTTGCTTTTATTATATTTATCTTTAGGAATACTATACTCTGCTGATAAATTTATATTTGGTACAATAAATGCTTTGCTATATGTTTCACAAAAGCAGGAATGCTAGCAGCACCAATTTTAAATATTTATTTTATTCACATTTTTTTATTTTCTAGAAAGTAGTTTAGAAAATTCAAAAGTCAGGCTAAACCAAAATAGTGAATTTTTACAAATAATACCTCAACTTGAGACTTTTTGTTTTGAAAATTTTTATTTTTGAAATTGTTTCAGATTGGAAAACTTTTACACAGAGTTCTAAGTGTCCTAATATTTCTTGCTGATAATAATAAAAATTCATATATATATTCACTTTTCATTGAGTTTAAATTCATTTTGATGTATTTTCAGTTAACAAAATGTCACTTGATGAAGAAGAACAAACTGTACACATCTCTAGAAGAAGGTTGTCAGAACTTGAAATAAAGGCAAATGCTGCAACAGATTTCATCCAACATTTCCAGAATATTGATAAAGAATTTAAAAAAGAAAAAGCTAAAGTGAAAAAGTTCACTAAAATGTTAATAGATGATCAAAAAGTTATTGAAAAATTGACTTCTGTAAGGTGTATTAGTGCCAGTGATCTTTCCTCATTAGACTCAAGGTCATTGATCTATAGAAATTCTTCACTTGTTACTCCACAATCAATTATAGAAACAGATGGCAGTTCAGGATCTTCATTTATCTTTCCAATAAGCGATCCTTTCCTTTCCCCATCACCAGAACCTTCATCAAAGAAACCACCAACTCAGCTAAGTGCTACCCCTCTTGAACTTACTACTCAATCTAAGACGACAACTACAGTTTTTAAAAATCTTCGTGAAACAGACTCAATAAGTAATTCAGGCAGCATTTCACTACCATATAAATGAAGTGCGTCTGTGAATGTAAGCATAACTGGTCCAAAAGCAAATAATGTGTTTGCTGATGTTGTGGATGACAGAGGTAAATCTGAAGCAGTTTTCCTTAATCTAGTTAAAGAATTGAAAAGGACAAAACATTGTTTAAATCAGCTGATGTTAGAAAAGGGCCTCACAATGGAAGAATTCATGGTAAATATTTATATGGTATAAACAAATGTAACCTGATGCATTACAGTAATTAGAGGAGTAACCATTTGATTTTTTTTCTATTTGTTTATTGATGTTGTTATGTAGTATGTCTGAATTATTTGCCATATGAATAACCAAGTTCTCGAAAAGTGGTGGTCCAAGGTTTTGACCACCAAAATTTTAATTTGTTGATATTAACTCACATCTGTGTCAGAATCAATGAAATGGTATGGCATTGTAGACATCCGGTAAAAAATTCTAATAAAATCTGTGCCAGAAGCCATCTTAAACTTACAGTGAGATGTTAGTTTTTGCTCTGCTTTGAAGCTAAGGCCTCATCATGACTTTGAGATGAAGATTAGCAATATAAGCACTGTAATCCACTGTCCCTTTTTTTTCAAGTACCTGTAGGGATTTTGTATTGTTGAGGTAGCTGGGGTGTCAAATGTTCGAAGAGAGATTTTTCTTAAACTTCTGTAAAAGACTTCTGGGTCAATGTACTTTCAAAATTTCAATATAAAAACTAGGGGTCACGGATGTTGTTTCTTTTGTTAAAATACTTTGAAATTAACAAAATTACAGTTATTTTTCATGGGTTATATAGGGGAAACTTAATTTTTATACGCCCGTTTACGGGACGTATTATGGTATACCGTTGACCGTCTGTCCGTCCGTCGTCAACATGTCGGACATTAACTCAAAAAAGTTATAACCAATATGCATGAAACTTTGGTGAATTGTTTATATTTATTGACGTGAGCTCCCTTTCGTTTTTTATAAATTTCAGATTTACTGTTTCTGAGTTTTGGGGTTTTATTCATTAAAAAAGGGGGGATTTTCCAGTTTTCCGACAATAACTCAAGAATGCTTTCACCAACTTGCAAGAAATTTTGGTGAATTGTTTATATTTATTGACATGAGCTCCCTTTCAATTTTTATAAATTTTAGATTTTACGTTACCGAGTTACAGGGTTTTATTCATAAAAAAGGGGGGATTTTCCAGTTTTCAGACAATAACTAAAAAAATACTTTTAGCAGTTCTCATGAAACTATGGTGAATTGTTTATATCTGTTGATGTAAGCTCCCTTTAGAATTTTATAAATTTTAGATTTTACATTTCTGAGTTATGGGGTTTTATTCATTAAAAAAGGGGGGATTTTCCAATTTTTGGACAATAACTCAAAAATGCTTTCAGCAGTTCTCATGAAACTTTGGTGAATTATTTATAGCTATTGATGTAATCTCCCTATTGATTTTCATAAATTTCAAATACGACATTGAGAAGAAATTGAACTTGATGTGTTTATAGTCTGACAACAGATTTACTAAGTATTGCGCAACAGCACATACAGTGTATTGCACAACAGCAAGAAATCTTTAATTGAATATAAATTCAATTCATATAACCAATTTCAAGTTCTTTGACTACATTTATTCAGAAACCTATAATATGTCAAATATTTAATTACAATCCAAATTCAGACCTGTATCAAGCTTGAATATTGTGTCCATATTTGCCCCAACTGTTCAGGGTTGGACCTCTGCGGGCGTATCCAGCTGCGCTCAGCGAAGCAGTTTATTTACATTAAAATGGCAAAATGTATCTTATTTTCTTTATAAATTGTTCAATTCATATCTGAGTATAAAATGAAAGTAACAGTTCAAATTCAAAGTCAAATCTAGTTGCACAATTATATTAAGTCCTTTTTTCAGAAACTATCAACTAAATATCTACAACATGTAGCACTAAAAAGATTTTTTTTTAATCAAATAGGAAAAGAAAGTATAATATATGAATAAGAATTCAATTAAAACAATTCAGTTTATCATTTTTATGCATATTACAATTAACTTTATTTTGTACAGGTACTCCAGGAGCCCAAACTTTCCAAAAGAACATAATAGAAAGGTTAAAGCATACCTACTTCTACCTTGGCCAGCTTGTGACCTTGTTCGTGCTAGAGGATGGTCCTGGAGTAACAATTTTATTTGATGCAACAACTGATTATATCCTTCATGGAAGGATTAAATCAGTTGTTGACAGTGATGTGGGGGAAATACAGGAGGTCTTCCAAAAGGTATTTTTGAATAATCTGAATAATGGAGAGCCATCCAGATTATTTACTTTGCTGTAAAGTTGAAGTTAAACAAAGAATTATCAATCTATCAATCGGCCTGTAAATGTAATGAATATAACTTTTATTTTATTTCATCTTATGTAAATATTACAAGATTTGGTTGTTCACATTCATTCTTGCAAAATACATGAAATAGCATTCACTAAATTATAAATAATACAAAAATTCCATAATATATTTAAATCTTTGTATTGTGTTATTTTATTCTTTATAACAGATGGAGAGTTGCGTCACAGGTAGTGATTTGCAAGCACATTATTGTGACATCATAGAAGAGGCCTCAGCTGTCGGTTTCCTTGTACCAGTGAACAAGATGACAAAAGAGCATTTGCCAGTTTTGAAGACAGCGATGGTTCAAAACCATATCGAAGGTGCCAAAGAAGAACTGGACGATTTTTTTAGAGGTAGACACATTTTTGTATCCCCAAAAAAAAATTAAAACAAACTAACACTTCATAGACTAAGATGTCTTAGACGAGCACAGTGAATACATTTTTACAGGACTTACAAGACATGACTGGTTTTTTTTTAAGTTACCTTTAGGAGGAAATTTTAAAAATTAAGATTCAGTCTTGTGAATCCTGAACCAATTTTGCATACACTGTGAGCATTTCAGGCTCATAGATGCCTCCACACTTTTTGCAGATATGGCTTAATCATCTAGCAGGAAGTATGAGATTTGACTTTACTCAGGGACTGTGTTTTTGAGTTCCACTTGAGTTTGTATAATAACTCACCCATTAAGCCACATCAAGATATGACCACTTTGGCATTTCCTCTGTCAACAATTTTTGTCAACCGAAAAATTCTTAAGTATAAGGTGCAAGGTCCTCCTGCCTGTCAGACAGTTTTCATTTGACCTCAACCTCATTTCATGGATCAGTGCACTAGGTTAAGTTTTCTCAGTTAAGTCTATATCTCAGATACTATAAGCAATAGGTCTTCAATATTTAGTGTTTGGAATGATTGTAAGCTGTACATGTCCTACTGGCAGGTGTCATCCCACATTGACCGTTTTTGTGTTTTGGTCTATTTCTCAGATACTGTAAGCATTCAGTCAATTATATGTATGTAGCAGGACAACATCTTCTACATCATTATCTAGTTAAAAATTTTATTTCAGGCCTGGATACACATCAGATTTTGAGTTTTTTGAGAAGAGATGACAACATCCTTAATGCAAGGACCCTCGTCTGTGGAAGAATTAAACCACTAACAGCACTTGCATTAAAAGACCTTCTCGTGTTTAAATACTCTGAAGGAAATAGGAAAATAAAGGAATTAGCCACAGCTCATGGTTTTCTAACCTTTATTCAAGCGTCTAAAGGTATGTTTAAAGCACAAATTAAATGAAATAAAACCTGACTTCAAGTTTAGGAGGGACCGGTCCGGAACATAAAATGCTGTTTTATAAATAAATGCATTCTTAACACCTTTCCTAGTGAAAATTTTGGATAGGATCACATTTGCCATACAAAAAATGGGTAACTCCTTCTTAACCACTTATTATAATTTAATGAAACTTTCTCATATTTTTTACAACTATAACATGTACAAGAACAGACAAGATAAGATATTTCAATTTCTTTATTTAATCTTATCTGAGTATATTATCCATGCAACTTACAAAGTTTCACTTATTCACTGATATTTCTTCACAACATCATGCAGTGTTCCATATCTCTAGATTATTGGAAACACACAATATTATTAGGCATAAGAAATGATAATAATATTTGATTACATTTTAGGTGATGGTGCAAGTGTTAATGGAATTACAGTGAAACCAGAAAACATTCTGATGTGGCTAACTGGATAAACCCACATACTAGCAGCTGGATTCCATAAACAGATTGACGTTCTGTTTGGGGATGCAATCACCATAAATACATGTGCATTGTGTTTCACTTTGAAATTGAGTGATATGACAATAGAACAGGCTGTTGAACATTATACAGAATATTTGATCAACAGTCAAACCTTTACTGTGGAGTAATACACTATTTTCATATTACCGACTTTTGACTCCGGATTATATAATTTGTCGACTGGTTACCTTGGACATCATGGTACCAAGTCAGGTAAGAGCAAGCTGAAGAAGTAAAACCAAGCTTTCACTCGGTACAATTTTGGGGGAAAATTACCTGCTTAACATTTTTTTTTCACTACAAAATCATCGGAAAACAGTAAACTTTCCCCTCAAATTACACCGATTATATGTTTGATTTTACTTATTTTGGTTGCTCTTACTTGACCGAGTACCATGATGTCCAAGGTAACCAATCGACAAATTATATAATCCAGAGTCAAAAGTGGGTAATATGAAGATAGTCTATTAAATAGGAACTTTGATTATAATTTGATTATATTGTTTGTGTCTTCTGTGTCAGTTTTTGTCTCACCTGTTACATTCTCCCCGACATCATGGTGAAGTGTAATATCAGTCACATGATGGTCAAGTGTACTGTCAGTAACATATGATGGTCAAGTGTAATGTCAGTAACATATCATGGTCAAGTGTAATGTCAGTCACATGATGGTCAAGTGCAATGTCAGTAACATGATGGTCAAATGTGTAATGTCAGTAACATATGATTGTCAAGTGTAATGTCAGTAACATATCATGGTCAAGTGTAATGTCAGTATCATATCATGGTCAAGTGCAATGTCAGTCACATGATGGTCAAGTGCAATGTCAGTAACATGATGGTCAAGTGTACTGTCAGTAACATATGATGGTCAAGTGTAATGTCAGTAACATATCATGGTCAAGTGTAATGTCAGTCACATGATGGTCAAGTGCAATGTCAGTAACATATCAAGGTCAAGTGTGTAATGTCAGTAACATATCATGGTCAAGTGTAATGTCTGTAACATATGATGGTCAAGTATAATGTCAGTATCATATCATGGTCAAGTGCAATGTCAGTAACATGATGGTCAAGTGTAATGTCAGTAACATATGATGGTCAAGTGTAATGTCAGTAACATATCATGGTCAAGTGTAATGTCAGTCACATGATGGTCAAGTGCAATGTCAGTAACATATCAAGGTCAAGTGTGTAATGTCAGTAACATATGACGGTCAAGTGTAATGTCTGTAACATATCATGGTCAAGTATAATGTCAGTATCATATCATGGTCAAGTGTAATGTCAGTAACATATAATTGAGTGCAATGTTGGTATTATATGGCCGAGTGTTTTGTCTGTAATGTAACATGTCAAGCTTCAAGAGTAACATATAATGAAGTGTATTGGCAGTATTATGTGGTCAAATGTAACGTCTGTATCACATCATAGCTATTATGGTAAACATATGGTCAAGTGAAATGTCGGCAACATTTCATGTGTAAATTTTTGCAGAAACATTGTCAAGTGGTCAAGTGTAATGTCAGTAGCATATGATCAATTGTAATGTCAGCAAGATATCATGGTCAAGTGTAATGTCGATTACATATCGTCAAGTGTATTGTCATCAGTTTTTTTAAGCTGTCAGTCCTGCCAATTTGACCATCGTTATTTATGAAATACAAGGAATTGTCTGCTGTGTGAAGTCTTATTCCTGCCTTAAATGAACATAAAGACAATGTTTTGCAATTTTTTTGCATTTAGTCATACATGTATGTAATGTTTTTATTGTAAAACTTTCATCTGGTGCAGCATACACCATCTGTTTTTTTTTAAGTCCATGTGCAGCTATATATATATAAATATATGTACTGTCTTATAGTCTACATATCTATATGTGCTACATTCTCATTTAAGTGTGGCTTAATGTTTGGTTTATATTTTATCATAAGTATGTGCTATAAAATATTAATACATTAATACTTTTTATAAGCTTCTACTGCTACCTTAGTCTTAGTATACTGCTATACATGTTATAGCATCATTTTTTTGGGTTCAAATCTAGAATAGTTGGAACTGTCAAAAGGTCCTGTCCAATACAAATTAACTTGCTGCAAAATTTCATGAAGACATATTTATCAGGCAAAAGTTTGACTCTAAAATATTCCAAATCTGTCAGTAGGGTTGCTTTTAGCTTGCCATTTTTTAAAGCTGAATTTTCAATGTTTTATAAAACATGTAATGATGAATCCATTCTTACAAAGGTAGTTCTTAATCAATCTTCAATTCCAGATTTTGTAGCTTAATTTTTTGATTTGTGTTATCAGTGGAAAAATATCAATAAATATAGATGCATTGTGAAGAGCGGTATGTGCCAAAAGCTCATATTGGAAAACATAATTTAATGTCCTGCAATTTTTTTCCCCATAATATGTCTGATAATGTATTATTTATGATTAAACTTTTGCATGTTAGCAGGTTACATGTATGTCAGATTATGTAGTGTTTGTAATTTATAATGTATGTAAATATATTATATAATGGCTGAAGCTGCATGACCTTGAAAATAAATGAGCAGACATGGTTTCAATTTAAAATCAACATACACATTGTTTTGTTTGTAAATTACTAGGGATGTCAACTCGGTGAAGATTTACTAATCAAGTACTCGTTGGATTTACCGAGCGATACTCGAGTACTCGCTCTGTAAAACATTAAAAAATGGAAGCACAAAATTATACTCATTTTATGTATTGTGGGTCGTTGTCTTATGAACGTAAAACTCTAAACATTATTACCTAGGACTATTACCAAGGAAATTTATACCATAATTAATAGCTCATTAACTACATGTACTAATTATGTAAACTGGCTATAAATTAATCAAGTAATTAATTAATATCTATAGAAAATGATTACTCAAACAACAGTATTTGGGAACCATAATAAAACACATTTAATGATCAACAAAGGGATTATTAGAACTTATTATTTTCTGAAGTTTGACACAGGGTGCAACAGATTTGTTATTTTTTTAAATTATTATCTTGTCAATTTTTACTGGGATGAGGCGATTTCTGAACTGTGCCGTTAGGTATCTTAACAGACCTTTTGTTGAAAATATATGCTCTTGCGGTACAGAGGTGAGGGAATAACTAACATTAACTAAAAGTGTAAGCCTTGGAAAAGTGCTCTGTTTGGAGGAAAACAAAAACATTCGAAACATATTTAAATTTTTATCAAATTTGAATAATAAGTAATTTCCCGGGAGGGGCTTAATGCCTTTTATAAAAATATTTGCTGTTAAAGCTCAAGAAAGCAACAACATTCTTACAGGAAAATGATTAGTTGAGTATCATTTTGGTATTCGATACTCGGTACTACCGAGCGATACTTTGACATCCCTATAAATTACACATTATATAAAGGTTAAAAAAGTGCACAAAGGTCTTAGTTTAGTATATGTGCATGTATTGGATGAACAATTTAGTGAACATAATTTTTACCAACTCGTTTCATATGACCAAGTTTGAATAAAATCTTTTCAGTGGATGGAAGCATTAACTAGGCAACAACATTGAGCCAAGAACTATTTGTAGCTTAAGGTATACCGTATACCGTTAATAATCCATATGATCAGTAGGTCCAGTTTTCCTGTTTGACACTTGGAAACAGGTATTTGGAAAATGCTTCAATTTCAACAATATACCACCAAGATATAATAAATTTTATTTATTTAGAACTCACCAATAGATATTAGAAGATGTGATATGAGTGCCAACATTTTAATGAGACAACTCTCTATCCAAGTCACAATTTATAAAAGTAAACCATCATAGGTCAAAGTAAGGTCTTCAACACGGAGCCTTGGCTCACAACGAACAGCAAGCTATAAATAAACAAGTTTCAATATGACTATGATATTTTGTATATTGAGATCATAATTTGGGTCTTTGTCAAATTTTCATGTTCTTGATGGTATTAATTTTTCAGGCCCCTCCTATGATAGGAGAGGGGTATGATACTTTCTGGTTTGTGACTTATATCTCTGAAACTAAAGCAAAAGTATAACAGTTGCATTATTTCATGCATCAATTGTAAATAAAAATATCAGGTGAGCGACACCGGCTCCTTGGAGCCTCTAGTTTATATTTATGCTTTACATGATAATTTTGACTGTTGGAAGCTACAAGTTTAAACAGATAAGTTCAAAGTTATTGTTTTTAATTCAATTGGTAAACCTTTTTTTGACAAATATCTTATAAAGATTCTTGTGTTGAAACTGTTAGGGTACTCATTATTCTTATTTTATTGTAATGAATTGTAATGGTTATTTCAATATAGCCATTGATACTGTTATGGAAAAGGCAAGAAAAGCCTACTTCAAAATAAAGAAAACTGTTGGTCTGAATAATCCATGTAGACTACTTGAAAAACGGTTTGATTCATTAATATCACCTATACTTAGGTACTGTTGTGAAATTTAGGGTGTTTACTCATCCTAAAGGGACAATTACACATTATATTTATCAAAGAAGCACTTGTGTTCATTTCAAGACTTCATGTAATGCTTGTTGTGCTGGGCTTGGTCCAATTCCACTCAAATGTAAGATTGTATTTTCAAGCATAAATTTTTAGGAACATATAACTTTTTTCCAAAAACACACATGTAAATTAAATTTTCTGTGCTACTGGGTTTTCAAATCCCTGGATCAACAAAACCAAAAATATTTTACAAAATTTAAGATATTCATATCTTGTAGATAAAAGTTGTTTAACAAACTTAGGACAAGTAAATCAAGGAATTTATGATCAGTGCTTGCAAAATCAATTTGCAAATATACCAGAATCTTCTAAACTTAATTTATTTCTTAAAATCTACACAATGTGTGAAAGATTATCATATGTTGATATATTTTAAACAAATTTGAATGATAGAGCAGCAATATGAAAAATACGCATGATTGCACATTCTTAAATGATTGAAAGCTGAAGACATCTTAATATTCCCAGAGAGGAAAGATACTGTCCTGTATGTAATAATAAGGAAATTGAAGATGAAAAACATTTAATATTACAATATGATAGATTCACCTCAAAAAGAGAACTATTACAAAATAAAATAAGTATTTTATTTAAAATATAGCGTTACAAACATTAACCCTGTTAAAAAATAATATGTCTATTGGTAGACAATAGCTCAGCATTACTGTGTAAATATAAGGAAAAGTGAAATATCAATATGTAACTTTTCATTCTGTCATGATGTATTTACATGTAACTTTTCATTCTATCATGTCAATTATTATAATTATCTATAGCAATAGGTCTTAACCATTTATTGTTAATGAGTATGGGCCAATAAAATATATGTATTTGTGAAGATTGCCTCAATTTGATTTGTTAAGCGATGTCATACAATACAGTTTTGATACCATGATGTTGACAAAAATTTCTTTTCCTTCAATTTTTTTTCACCTTAACAATCCAAATATGTAATAAAAAAATATATACCTTCATGTGATACTTTAATAGAATAATTGGGGTTGAAATTTTTGACATTTACTTAAAATTTTGGTTTTTTTTTACATTTCTATCCTTGGATTGACATACATGTACCTTACTTTTTTGTTTTAAAAGAAAAACACAAGTGGATTTTTGTAAAAACTTTTGGAAAATTTTCTTTACATAAGTATGCTTTAGATTTGTTTAACAATTCTTTGGAAAGAAAATATTTTTATCAAAGTTTCAGGATCATTGAAAAAAACATTTTTAGCTGTATATTTATCTAATTTTTATAAAAAATTATTGTTGACTTTTTCATGAAAATTGGTACAAAAAATCTTTATACATAATGAAACCAAATGTCATTTTAAAGAAGAGGGTCCATGAACTCGTTTTCAAGTTAAATCAGTTTGAATGATAAAACTCAGTCAAAAAACACATCTTTTCCCTATATATCAGTTTGAAAAAACAAATTGAACTACACCTATTTTAATTAGTTACTGAAGGTATAGGTTCCCTCTGATCTGAATTTAATGATTCAATGAATAATAAAACATCCTTGTATAACTGAATACCATGAGTTAAGTTTTTATAGTCTTCGGTTAAATTTATCCTGGCTCTCAGCTGTTGCATATCATCATCATCTAAAGGGCTATGAATCAGTGGTAATTGAATTTCATCAAAACTTATCTTCATGATCAGAGTCATTATCCTCTATTCCATAGTCATCCGTGATAGTGATATGTTCTAGTTTTCTATGTTGTGTCATCTGTACTATTATTTGTCTGTTTGTCTTTTTATTTTTGGCCATGGCGTTGTCAGTTTGATTTCGATCTATGAGTTTGACTGTCCCTCTGGTATCTTTCGTCCCTCTTTTCTAGAGAGTCGTTACTACCTGCCTGTAACAACAGGTCAGCAATTGAAACATTGCTTGTATTTATTGTTTATAAAACTCCCTTGATAAATAACTGATAAGGAGTTTTGCTTCCCTCTGTACTTAAGCCGTGATGATTATGCTAGTATACAAACATTTGAAGTGACTTGTTTATTCTTGGTAAAAAAAACATATTGGAATGCCCACAATTGACGTGCACATGTAATGTCTAACATGTAGATATCTTCCATATATGAAAATAAATCGTAGTACTCATTAGATACAGACTCCCAAAGATCAACCCATAATCTTTCAATTCTTTGGTTATGGGCGCTTTTGCATTTTATTGCACTACCTCTATTTGTACCACGATAACCTTCCATGAATGTGCATATATCTACATTTTCACCACCATGATCCACTCTGATACCGGAAGGAACTCCATGTTGTGTAGTGGCCTCAATAAAAAGATCATACACAGTCATAGGCGGATCCAGGGGGCCCAGGCCCCCCCCCCCCTTTTGTGGGAAAAATTTGGTTGATTATATAGTGAATCACTGAAGCATGACTGGAGCGGGCCCCCCCTTACAAAAAGTTCTGGATCTGCCACTGACTGTGGTTGACTGGTTATTATTGCTGGCATGTAAAAAAGTAACAAGGCGACTGTAGCCATCAATACCACCATGGATAACAATATTCCACCTAAATTAAAAAAAAAAATAGGAGATGCCATGAAAAGTCATGCAAAAAATTCCAAATCTAAGTTATTAAAATTTATAAAAAATATCAAAACTATAAACATGTGATAACGCAGCTATAGTCTAACACTTAATGATATACTAGGAATGATAAATGTATTTTAAAAAAGGTTTTGATATGGACATTATTATAGGAAGCAAGACAACTCATCCCACACCAAATCGCGCCACCTTTGCACCAACTAATCCCACTTTCATCCTACTCCTCCACTCTTGTTTGCCAACTCGCCAGACTTATGAAAAGTAATCAAATCCCCACGATTTCACTACTGACAAATCGATATTAATATTTTTTCATAAGTAGAGTGAGTTGGCAGACCTTTATTCATCTGGATTTTACCATTTATCTTAAGAGGCAATTTTGCAGTGCATGGGGAGAGTTGTCATGGATTCATATATTAGTTTATTATGAAACATTACTGGCGTTGATGAGGGTGTTGTCTCTTTGACACATTTCCTATTTCCATACT